TGTAATGTATGAGCGAAATGTATAGTAGATTATGATGTGTATGTATCACACAAACATAAAACAACAATTTTTTTCTAGTCCAAAACCCCAGGAATGATTAAAATCTGATTGCAAAGCCTATTGCATGGAAAAGTGTTGACACATACCAGGAGCCTGAATTGAACAGCACGGCCCGTCAGCGCTTTGAGCAGCGGCGCAAACAATGGGTGCGGGACTTTGTTGGAGTTGACTTTGCTTCGTTTCCCTTCTTTCTCTATCTTTGTGTCAAGGTGGGATCTTTGCTCTTTCTCTATCTCTCTCTCTCCTCTCTCTTTCCCTTCCTTGGGGAGGCTCTTTCCTTTTCCTGTCAAAAATCCAGACGTGGATGGAATGATTTTGATTCCTGTGCACAGCCAAGGCTCAGATGTACCAGTCTGGGCAACTAGACCTTGAATCTGTGGTGAAGACACAGGCAGCTGGCTGGCATTGCGAGATGGGTGTGTGACAGTGGCCATGGCGGCCATGGTTACAGTTTTGTGCAAAGCCGCTTTGAAATCTCGTTGGAAACACAAGAAATACCAACAACTTTGATCTGTTCAGTGCAAGAAGGTCAGATGTCTTGGTCGCACTGTACCCCATGAGATCCCATGAGGTTTTCAGTAAGAACTACTAATTCCGGTAATCAGCTGTGGATCGTCAATATTTCATGGCGAGGTTGACGAAGAGAGGCTCTTGGAGGAGCAGCAACGGTGCAGGGATGAACGCCTGAAGGCGGCCTCAAACCTACATGGCATGTAGATACAGACACTGGTGACAAATCTTTTGGTGGGCACAATATTTTCAAATCAGACAAACCTATATGAAAACCTATATGAAAACCTATATGATTAGCCAGCCACATCAAGATGTTTTGCTTTCTTTTTCGATTGGAAGCTGCAGGCTGAGCTGAATGGTCTCAGTGAAAGCAGTGCAGTAGTGCAGCGTCTACGAAGTCTGACGGGAGAACCTTGGCAACATGGAGTTGCCAACTCAGGCTGAGTCAGGCTGAGTCAGATGTTAGTTGTGTTGTTTTGCTTTGTTTTGGCAGTTTGAGAACGCACGGTTTATCTGGATAATTTGCCGGATTCGACAGGAATGAGATTTTTCTTGTGCTGTCCCATATTTTTAGACGTCTTCATGTCCGCGCCTGAAAAGGTCGCCTGTCTTCTAACTCTTGGCGACCTGCCCACTGCTAGGGAGGAAGTCTTGAATAGCAGGCGATGAGTCACTTCAGGGTTGACTTGTACCGGTCGAGTCATTTTTTTAGTACCGTTCTGCTTTAGTATAAAACCAACCAGTTTGGACAGTCTGGGGGTTAATTTTGTGTCCTATTGTGATTTAGTTTTGCCAGGGGGAGGAGGTCTCAGACATGTTGTGTTTTCTCAATGAACGCTGGAAACAGCGTAATAGTAGGCAGTTTGATCTTTGAACTCTTTCCAGGCCAATGTCGACATGTTTCTCTTGAAATGTAATTCTTTTCATGTTCATGATTAAGTATTATATATTCTTATCTATAATATGATTTCGGCTTGGTGATATTTGCTGTCCAAAATCTCTGCACGCATGTCTTTGTTTTTCCTGTTCCTCTGGCTCAGAGCGGTCCAGAGTGACCTTCCCCGCGGTCACCGGATACACATGCTCTTGTGGTTCCAATTCGCACATCAGCAGGTACTGCACTGTACTGTACTTTCACATTCTGTGCCCATTCCACCATCTTTCAAAGCAACCTTATCACTACACTGTCAGCCTTGAACTGTCACACTTGAATGGTCAGTAGATTGCGCCATCTCAGAATATCGACATCATGAAGGGAGGTGCGGAGTCAGGTTTGTTGGCTTTGGGCTGTTAGTTCTGAGTTGTGCGACCAGTACACTGGTCAACGTTCTGTTGTGTTTTCGTTACTAGCTTTTGGGCTGAAGGGTCTGAGAATATAAAGATACTTCCTGCTTAGCAGTGTAAATTTTCAAGATACTCGAGAGTACAAGAGAGAACAGTTTCGCAAACCACTGGCATCCAGGCGCACTGAACGAAACTCGAAACCACCAGGAAATCCCTGAATCAATGTATGAAAGGGAAAGTCTCAGATGCGTATTTGGCGTCTCTGTCGAAGTCTGCGAAGGTAGAATCAAGTGACATCCCTCTTACTACGTGGGAAATCACCATTGCAAATTACCCAGTTAAGGGATCCATACATACAGACATACATACATACAGACATACAGACGTACATACATACATACATACATACATACATACATACATACGAGTTCCGATCCGGAGAGCCACCCAAAAGTCGGATTCGAGTCGGTTTCGGGTTTCGGGTTTCGGGTTTCGGGTTTCGTCGATTGAAACCAACTTTCGCTGTCGGTTTCGGGTTTCGGGTTTCGGGTTTCGGGTTTCGTCGCTTGAAACCAACTTTCGCTGTCGGTTTCGGGTTTCGGGTTTCGGGTTTCGGGTTTCGTCGATTGAAACCAACTTTCGCTGTCGGTTTCGGGTTTCGGGTTTCGGGTTTCGTCGATTGAAACCAACTCTGCAGACCTCTCTCCGGATCACGTACTCATACATACATACATACATACATACATAGAAAGATACATAGATCCACAGATCCACAGATCCACAGGTACAGAGATACATAGATACATGCATACATATGCATACATATGCATACATATGCATACATATGCATACAAATGTATACACACACACATATATATATATATACACATATACACGTACATACACATATATACACATGCATACACATACATACACATAGATAGACATAGATACACATAGAGAGACATAGAGACACACAGAGACACACAGAGACGCAAAGAGACACACACACACAGTCATACAAACAAACATACAGACATACGGACAGACAGACATACAGACTTACCATACCATACCATACGATACGATACCATACAATACCATACCATACAATACCATACTGTGCGTACAAGCACACAAACACACAAACAAACAAAAAAACATTCAGACAAGCAAACAAAAACAAACAAAAACATAAACAAACAAAAACAAACAAACAAACAAACAAGCAAACAAACATACATACATACAAACGTACAAACATACAAACATACAAACATGCATACATACATGCATGCATACATACATACGTACGTACGTACATACATACACATACATACACATACATACACATACATACACATACATACACATACATTGACATACATTGACATACATTGACATACATTGACATACATTGACATACATTGACATACATTGACATACATTGACATACATTAACATACATTGACATAAATTGACATACATTGACATTCATTGACATACATTGACATACATTGACATACATTGACATACATACATTGACAGACATACATTGACAGACATACATTGACAGACATACACTGACATACATACACTGACATACAGGCATTGTGCTCACAATTGACATACATACATAGACATGCAGACCGACAGACAGACGGACAGACAGACCGACATACTTACACATACTTACAGGTACTTACAGATACTTACAGCTACTTACAGATACTTACAGATACTTACAGATACTTACACACACATTACATACATTACACACATTACATACATTACATACCTTACATACATTACATACAATACCATGCATTACATGCATTACATGCATTACATGCATTACATACCTTACATACATTACATACATACATTACATACATACATTACATACATTACATACATACATTACATGCATTACATGCATTACATGCATTACATGCATTACATACATTACATACATTACATGCATTACATGCATTACATACATTACATACATTACATACATTACATACATTACATACATTACATACATTACGTGCCTTACATACATTACATGCATTACATGCATTACATGCATTACATGCATTACATACCTTACATACATTACATACATACATTACATACATACATTACATGCATTACATGCATTACATGCATTACATACATTACATACATTACATACATTACATGCATTACATACATTACATACATTACATACATTACATACATTACATACATTACGTTACCTTACATACATTACATGCATTACATGCATTACATCAATACTCTACATCGATATATATATATACTACACCCTATAATATAGCCCAGTTTCGTATATGGCTATGCACAACTTAGCATGTGACGCTGGACTCAAAATTTCATTATCGCCACCAGGAGATGGCCATCAGGAACCAGCCATTGTGTTTATCAAAGTCTGTGATTTGCTTCGAACGTTGGTCAAATACCAATTCACCAATTGTATATAATATTACATAATATATTGTAATACCATACTTGAGAGGACTCAAATCTCTTTGCGACAACTATTTTGATTCGTGTACCAGGGTCTCTTCGCTGGATGGCTCGGCTGTTCAGGCATGCTCCAGCGGTCTTTCTGGCTTTTGCCCCTTCTTCTGGCAATGCTTGCCGCACACAAGGCAGCACAATTCGTCTTGTTGTCTGCGTTTGTTACCACCAGAGTCCAATGCCAAAAAACACTGGCTCAATATATTTGATTGTATTACAGTGTTTTTCCCCCTTTCTAGTATATCGCTTCAATTCAGCAAAGTGCTGTTTGTTGCTGCTTCAATGACGACCATTCCACTGCTCTGCAATATGGCAAGCCAGGGCAAGCCCGCATTCCGAACCCTTGTTTTCAACATGCCAGCTTTCCACTGGCTGCTGAATGCAGTCCTGTTTTACGTTGCACAGGAAATTGGAGCAAACGAGAAGGAGCTCCACTCTGGTTTGGAAATTCAATGAGATGTAGAAATGATAGAAATGATAGAAATGATAGAAATGATAGAAATGATGTAAACGGTACATTTTGACGTCTCGATTCCACACGGCTTTGCTGCTTCAGAAAATCGAGCCAACTCGGGATGTGGCCGTGGCAGGAGCTTGAGATGGATGGCATTGTGATGGAGGACCACGAGGAGGCACGGCTTGCCGCGATAGAAACACAAGGTGAAAGCGAAAAAGTTTATGCAGTTTTTGCATAAGATTCATATGTTTCGGCATGTACTTGCACATTTTTCCATTTGGCTTTACCGATATTGGGAACAAATGAGTGAACTCTGAGAAGCCTAAGGTCGATAGAATCCGGCAGAACATGTACATTGAACTAATTCCAACAAAAGACACTGGCTAAGGCGGCTAAGAATTGTTTTATCTAGCAAATACATAGTTCCTTTATGTTCCTTTCCTCCTTTTGCCCCTTTCTCAATCCAGAACTCTTTTTGGAAACGCCGGGGGACCAGCCAGGTGAAGCCGAAGGACCTCACTGCAGCAATCTTCCTACTTGGAGGAGTTACATTTGTGATGTCTCTCTTTTACTTGGTGCCCCTTGGTTGAAGCGATGTTGATTCCCTGCACGGTTCCCGCTTGTTGCGGGATGTTTTCAGACTTGATTGGCGTGTGATTTTTCACACCGTGCAACGCTCCAATTCAGAGTGGCTGGGATCGCATACTTCAGTGCTGCCAAGGAATCACCCGGACATGGACATTCGAGATCACACCTGGAAAGACACTTCTCTACATGGTGTGACAGCTTTTACGACTTTTCACTGTACATGCCTGGTTTATTTGTTTGAAAGTGGGCAAGAAAATGGAATCCTCAACCGAAATGGCCCAACGCAGTATGCTGTCTCCTCTCAGATGGAGAATAGACCTCGATTAGAGCTGGTTCCACTTCGGAGATGCTCAAGTGGTCATTGCACAGCTAGTCTCCTTGAGCATCAATTCTTCACATTTGTCCTTACTGTTTCAGGTAATCAACGCGACTGTTTCAATCTTTGTCTCTGTACTGCTCTTCCAGGCTCGATTTCGGCAACCGATGTGATATGATGTGACAGGATGTGGCCATTCTTCTCTACAGTTTCCACGACCCTACTCATTACTTGTACCACCATCCTAGTGTCCAACTCCAAACCAGGCTTTTGATAGACCTGAGTTCCTCTGGACAAACCCTCTTCTTGAGGCACCAACTCCAACTATTTCAATCTTTCTATGCGTAGATGCTGCTTCGGACAACCCCTCTGACAGGGCATCACTGGTGTGTCCGATCGAGTCAGCGACACCTATTTGACTGGCCAATCTCATCAAAGTCTTGCAAAGATTTGTCTCTTGGGCAGAAACAACATCTCTGCAGAACGGAACGGGTTCGTCACGGGATTCTCAAGCTGTTTCAGCCAAATTCATCACAGTGTTACACGCACCTTCTGAATGGGTTGGGATGTTTGTCGGCTTTAAGCCCAATTGAATGGAATTGAGAAGTCTTCGGGTGCTGCGACACGGGCTCAACCAAGGCTTTGCTTATTTCACATTCTTGGTGTTCTACTGTGCCTTGTCACGAAGTTAGGCTGGGCTGGGTCCGTCCGACGACTGAGAGACTGAGGCGCCCTTCATGGCGTGCTGTTTAACTTGGCCTATTCGCCTGGAGCTGAGTCAGCGATGCCACGTCACGGCACGCGCCGGGCGCCGCCTGTGCCGCCTGTGCCGCCTGTGCCGCCTGTGCCGCCTGTGCCGCCTGTGCCGCCTGTGCCGCCTGAGGACTGACGAGGAACGACCCAAGTTGGAGAGGAAAACCACGAGTTTCTGGGGGCTCCTTCCGGCCAGAAGCACAATCTTGGTCGCTTGGCGAAGTTTTTTCCCGCGGCGCTGTGACGATGCACTGATTTTGCTGGCTGCCTACTTCAGGTCGCCTCAGAGGATGGAACCTTTGAGACAAAGCGCAAGCGGAAGGCTGGAAGTGCTTCAAGTTTATTTGGCTATAGCGGCTATGGTTCAAAAGCCTGGTATTCTGGTGCCCAAAGCAGCTGGAATTTCTGGATGTTCATCCCCCCAACTATGGTATAAGGGGTTTTGATCCATCCCCCTTTTAAGGTGGCTTTCTCGGATGTCCTCTGAGTTGTCCCATCTATGACAAAATTGACGGTAAACTCCAGCAAAATTCACTGGAAGCAGCCTGTGCCATGCCAATACATCTACTGTGGTAACTATATGTCAACCACTTTTTTTTTCTCTTTTTTATCTACGGTTTTTACATGTTTTCAGAATCCCCCAAATCGTAAAGATGCTATGGAAAAACCAGCTGCATCATGACTGGCACCGCCGCAGATTGCTTGTTGGGCGACCCTCCTGTCACACATGGCTGGCTTTGCACACATCCGATGCAGCCTGGACCTGCAGCAGCTGGAGGTCTTCAAGGCGGGGCGAATGGCGAATCCAAGTCTTATTTTGATGGAGTATGGAGTGTTAAACAATGTTAAACACTAGATTCAAACATTGGATTCAAACATTAGATTCTACATGGAGTGTCAAATCAAAACTTGTTTGCAGAGCAATCATTTGCAAATCTCGAGACTTATGGACTTGGTATATATATATTATATATATATATATATCACTTTATCTCACTATATCTCAGCACCTGTGTCACCTGTGTCACACTGTCAGGGTGGTGCGATGGCAATTGTGCCCACCATCATCAACGTTTGGTCCTGAGTTCCCGATTTGATTTGATCTGACTTTGAGGAGCCCAGCTGGGGCCCAGCTTTCAAATCATTAGAGATCATGTTTGGGATGTTTGTGTTTGTGATAAAGATATATAAAGATAACAATGATAACATGATCTCAGAAATCGAGAATTGGTCCATTGTTCGATTTTTGTTTTCCTTCGCTGATTCTAGGCAAAATTTGGTTCGCAAGACTGACTTCCAGGGCTTTGCTGATTCCATGAGATTTCTGGACCTTTTTGTGCTGCGTGATGTTCATACATTCTTGCGTTCGAACTGGGTGTGAAAGGGCTTTGAACCTATTCTTTGCACATCGCGGACGTTCAACCTTTTCATGATTTCCTAGCTGAGAATCTGCTTCCGTGAACTTGTCCTTCAATTTCAGACCTTCACCCTTGAAACCATTAATCATTAGTGAACACCAATCCGATTTAATCATCCAAATCCAAACTCACGCAGACATCCTCAACATGCCTGAGCACTAAAAGCAGCAATAATGCTGCGCCGCACACTCCAGGTTCCTGTGTCACACGCCGTATCACAGTATACTTGAGGCCTTGCTACTGGTGGTCATCTTCAAGCTGTCTGACTCTTTCAGAAGCTGCTTGGATGATGTCAAAGTGGAAACAGTTCAATTCCTGACAGCTTCCATTGAACCAGTTCCATCCAGAAGCTGCTTGGACCAGTTCCATTCCTAGCGGTTCTGCGGCTCCGCTAAGGGCGCTTTGAGCAGAAGCCTGCCTCCAAGGGGTTTCACCTTTGGGAGATGGGTGCAGAGGTGCCCTGGGGTGCCCTGGGGCGCGCGTGTGAAATATAATGTTTTAATCGAGTGTAGTACAGTGTATTGAAATGTATCTCCTGTGCATACTTGCGCATTAGACAATATATTATAACATATATATATATATGCATATCTATGTTATATGTATTTTCATCCCATAATATTTATCCAGAAAGAGTGAGTTGGGTGGGAGCAATTGCTTCCTTCAAGTGAGATGAACATGTATCGAGTTTCCTTGATTTTCCTGATGCGTACTGCATTTTCTTGTCTGCTTCAGCCGACCACTGCCAGGAAGCAGAAGACGATGCCTCGCAGCTCAAGATATGATCAGTTTGACAAGCCAAAACATCTCTGTATGCCTTGAATGCACGTCGCTGCCTAGTGTGAAGCACATTTAAAAGGGTGCACCAAGGTCCAGGCATGAGTTTTGTAGGATTTTAGGAAGCAACTTTTGAGACGCACGTGCTGATGTAGCAAATCTGAAGAGATAGTGCATAGTGAATTTACCAAAGTGTCGCCGGCTTCCAATTTGGATTTCCATTCCTAAGATTGCTGCCATCGGCATTTCCTTCTCTTCAGTTGTGCCTTGGCAACCTTGGCATTAGACCTTGAGTCACGAGTTGTGATGGATGTGGCTGTTTTTACATGTGCCTGGCGACTATTCCAGCCTTTGGGATATGTTGCCCTTTTGTAATGTGGACACTGGTGAGATTTGTTGCCATTTGATGATATCGGTTTTGCTTCTGGAGTTTGAGGACGTTTGGACTTGTGCTTAAGCTATTTGTTTTTTTGTCTCTAATTGAAACACAATGAAACAGACTGATCGTGGTCAGCTGGTGGAAAGTCCGGAGCTTTGAGTGCACTCAACGTATTAGTGTTGCTTTGCATCTCTTGGTTATTTTTCAGATTTTTAACCACGTGCCAAGTTTTTTTTCTCAGGTGGTGCTACGTTACGCCTTCACCAAGCAGATGGCCAATGTCCTGGGTTTGGAGCTTCCGGTGGTGGATCATGCGATGTATGCAAAGATTGCCATAGGCAGGACATGGCACGACGTGCGTTCGAAATCTCGGTGATGCTGGGGGTGTCTCAACATTTGGTATCCCATTGGATGTTTTTTTGCGCCTCGTGTCCCTGAAAAATGACCATAACTTCAGAGCCCATCCCTGAATTCCGGAATTCCGAGAGAACCCAGCTGCTTCACTGGAGCTAAGAGCTCCATAGAACCAGATCTGATGAGAACCATCGTCACACCGCAGGTTGTGCAACTCTGATCTTCGCATTAATCTCAATTCTCATTCTGGTCTGTCTCACTAAGTGGCACATCTGCACTTGATGATTCCTTTTTGATGGCTGAGCTGAAGACTGGTATGAATGTGATGGGCTTCATTCTTCCAGATTCTTTCCAGATCTGGTGTGATGGACGTTGTGTCAAATTTACGCTGCTTCAAACAAAGTCATGCAGCAGTCATGCATTGCATGCATTGAAGCACCCTGGAATTCAGACCAGAGTGTCTCAGACAGTGGCCCCAAGGTTTCGAAGCCCAAAGAAAGGACAAGGATATGAAAGGGCACAAGAAGGACCAAGACCAAACGTGATCCCTTGACATCCCTTGAAGGTCACGTTTTCAGACGAGTGACGCCAAAAACCTCTGGTTTCATTTGCAGTGAGGGCGAAATACTACAAAGAGCCTTGGCGGTAAAACTTGGCGTAAGGACAAGAAGCAGAAGGAAGGTTTGCGATTGTGGAAGACAGTCAGCGCAGGGACTACTTGTAACTTGGACAGAACCGTTGATGCTGATCATGGTTGTGATATGCTGTGACAGCAACCTCCGAAAAGATAGAATAGAAGTTGGGAAAATCCCACTAAAACATTTGTGGAGTTACTGTAGCAGCGTGCCTTCAGCTGGTGTCAGCTGCCACACTTCTGCTGGGTTAGCAAGTCCTGGGTCAAGCACTTTGTGCTGGAGAGAAGGAGTCAAGTAATGTAGTTTTCATATGTTTTCATGGCATCATCAGGCTAACATCAGGCCACTTTCTTTTTGTACATCCTGCAGTGTCACACTGCAGTTGAAAATCGAAGGGTGTTTTTGTAGAAACAATCCACCGTTAAATTCATGAAAAAAAAACAAATCCTCAGGGTTTTTCATCCAAAAACCGTGGGGTCTTCGACCCCCAAAAAAACAGCCATTTTTTCCCATCCCAGAAAACGGTCTTGGCTCCAAGGACGAGATGGATCTTGATTGCCAGCAGCACTTTTGCGACCGCCGCCTCATGGTGCGGATTGTTTCTTGGCCGCGTTTCGGCCGCTAAGGCTGATGGACATGGGCAAAACTGGTTACCGAAAATGCCCCTATGCCTAAAGAAAAAGGGGTTGATTTGGTGTCTGAGTATACTCTTTTTTGAGCCATGGCCATATCTTTGAGCCATGGCAAAAGATCTTGTTTGCAAATCATTTGTAGACTTGCACAGCACTGCCAGGTATGCATCGAAGTGGTTTTTGTATGGCACCTTGGGTGCATTTGCCGTCGAAGTGTCTCAACATTGATGTCGAAGTGTCCAAGTTGTTGGCCCAACCCAACCTCGGAGAACCGGCATGTTTTCCACCTTTCAAACGTTGTGTACAAGTAGCCAATCATTTTCGACGAAACAAAAGTGCATCTGAAAAAGGTGTGGGCAAGGGACTGAATAAATCCACACAAGTCTGAAGAAATGTCACTGTGAGCCTTGAAGCTACTGCACATTTGACACACTCAGGAATTGAAATCAAAGAAGACGAGCACACCAATCCCAACTCTTGCATTTCTCGCGTAGTCCTTGCCCTGCTGGTTACTTGGCGTCAGACTTGGAAGAGCACATTGCTGGGTCGCCCCGTTTCTCGAACAGTTTGAGGATGTCAAATGTATGTACTTACTCTTATTTATCGGGAATTATTTGGTTATAGTTATAGTTATAGGTGACGTGGTTGACGGTATTTAGCAGTATGTTTAGGTCCAACTGAGAACTCCGGAGCTGACGTTCAGGTCTCTTTTGGCAGTTTCGTTATGGCTGGGAGCTAAAGATTCAAACATGGGGGGAACAGAGCTACGACAAATGATGCACACAGATTGTTGCAGACATGTTGTGTTTTGACCGTGGCAAAACTTCCATGCCTTTGGTTGGAAACCACCAGCTCTGCAGGTTTTCATTTCCATCAGCCATGTTGGCTCAAAGCAAGATAGAAAAGTGAGAGAAAGTTGCTTGCCAGTTCACATGTTTCGTTTATGCTCGCTCCTTGGCCTGCTTGCGCTGGCCAATAGCGAAGAAAGCTCTGAGGAGCCGTTGCACAGCAAATCTTTCCCGATCGGTCAATTTTTTCCTCTCTGGGCAAGATTATTGGCTCTCAGAATTGCATGTTTTCAACTTTCAAATGTGGCCAAAGAAGTGGGGAATCTTTCGAGCCACATTTTTGATGCAGATCGAGCTGCCAGATTGATCTTCATCTCTTTCCCATACCTCGACAGCACAAGGAGCTCGAAGCGGAGAAACCTACCCTCTTGAAAGTTGTGGGAGCTGATAGCAAAAGGCAGGATGGGATTTCGCTTTCTTAGAACTCTGATCTACAGCATTGTGTAGGTTTGGTTGGACAAATTGCTCACTGTGTGAGCCGGTGCTTCCCTTGAACCCGATTTGCTTGGGTCTTGCTGCATGACATTGTTGATCTCACTCCTGAACAGTCTTGACCCACTTGACCGATTGTGATAATGTTGCAGTGTGGGTCTTGGCACTTTAGTGTGGGTGTTGAATTTGTGTATACTGCAATATACTGCATATGAATATGATATATATATATACTGTATATAAATATAACCTGAATATATATATATATAGTATCTATCCATATATAAATAATATATACATATTATACATACTGTACATATCTCGAAATAGATAATAGATTCCAGATGATTCCCAGCATTTTTTTTGGGCCCCGGAGGCCAAAAGATGGCCTGGAGCTCAGAGTCCTCCAGCGTCACGGCCGCGCACCGTTGCCTCCGGAGCCGCAGCATCTCCCGAGCAGCGAAGATGAGGTGATGGAGGAGCGAAAGGGACGGAAATGATGATGATGACTATGACTATGACTATCTCTATCTCTATCTCTACCTCTACCTCTACCTCTACCTCTACCTCTACCTCTACCTCTATCTCTATCTCTATCTCTACCTCTACCTCTACCTCTACCTCTACCTCTATCTCTACCTCTACCTCTACCTCTACCTCTATCTCTACCTCTATCTCTATGTCTATCTCTATCTCTATCTCTACCTCTATCTCTACCTCTACTCTATCTCTATCTCCATCTCTATGTCTATCTCTACCTCTACTCTATCTCTATCTCCATCTCCATCTCTATCTCCATCTCTATCTCTACCTCTATCTCTATCTCTACCTCTATCTCTACCTCTATCTCTATCTCTATCTCTATGTCCATCTCTATCTCTATCTCTATCTCTACCTCTATCTCTATCTCTACCTCTACCTCTATCTCTATCTCTATGTCTACCTCTACCTCTATCTCTATCTCTATCTCCATCTCTATCTCTACCTCTACCTCTATCTCTATCTCTATCTCCATCTCTACCTCTACCTCTACCTCTACCTCTATCTCTATCTCCATCTCCATCTCTATCTCTATCTCGACCTCTATCTCTATCTCTATCTCCATCTCCATCTCTATCTCTACCTCTACCTCTACCTCTATCTCTATCCCTATCTCTACCTCTACCTCTATCTCTATCTCTATGTCTATGTCTATCTCTATCTCTACCTCTACTCTATCTCTATCTCTATCTCCATCTCCATCTCCATCTCCATCTCTACCTCTACCTCTACCTCTATCTCTATCTCCATCTCTACCTCTACCTCTACCTCTACCTCTATCCCTATCTCCATCTCTATCTCTACCTCTATCTCTATCTCTATCTCCATCTCCATCTCCATCTCCATCTCTATCTCTATCTCTATCTCTACCTCTATCTCTATCTCCATCTCTACCTCTACCTCTATCTCTATCTCCATCTCTATCTCTACCTCTACCTCTATCTCTATCTCTATCTCTATCTCTACCTCTACCTCTATCTCTACCTCTACCTCTATCTCTATCTCTATCTCTACCTCTACCTCTACCACTACCTCTATCTCACCTCTACCTCTACCTCTACCTCTACCTCTATCTCTATCTCTATCTCTATCTCTAGCTCTAGCTCTAGCTCTAGCTCTACCTCTATCTCTACCTCTATCTCTATCTCTATCTCTACCTCTACCTCTAGCTCTATCTCTATCTCTATCTCTATCCCTAGCTCTAGCTCTATCTCTATCTCTAGCTAGCTAAATCTCTATCTCTACCTCTACCTCTACCTCTATCTCTCTCTCTCTATCTCTATCTCTATCTCTATCTCTATCTCTATCTCCTCTACTCTATCTCTATCTCTATCTCTACCTCTAGCTCTATCTCTATCTCTATCTCTACCTCTATCTCTATCTCTATCCCTATCTCTATCTCTACCTCTACCTCTACCTCTATCTCTCCCTCTATCTCTATCTCTATCTCTATATCTGCCTCTACCTCTACCTCTACCTCTATCTCTATCTCTATCTCTATCTCTACCTCTCTATCTCTATCTCTATCTGTACCTCTACGTCTACCTCTATCTCTATCTCTATCTCTACCTCTACCTCTATCTCTATCTCTATCTCTACCTCTATCTCTATCTCTATCTCTACCTCTATCTCTATCTCTATCTCTACCTCTATCTCTATCTCTATCTCTATCTCTACCTCTACCTCTACCTCTACCTCTATCTCTATCTCTATCTCTACCTCTATCTCTATCTCTATCTCTATCTCTATCTATCTCTATCTCTATCCCTATCTCTCTACCTCTAGCTCTATCTCTATCTTTATCTCTATCTCTATCTCTATCCCTATCTCTATCTCTATCTTTATCAGTATCTATCTCGTTCTCTATCTCCATCCCTATCTCTATCTCTATCTCTACCTCTACTCTATCTCTATCTCTATCTCTACCTCTACTCTATCTCTACCTCTTTCTCTATCTCTATCTCTACCTCTCTATCTTCTTTCTCTATCTCTACCTCTACGTCTACCTCTATCTCTATCTCTATCTCTACCTCTACTATATCTCTATCTCTATCTCTATACCTCTACTCCATCTCTACCTCTACCTCTACCTCTACTCTATCTCTATCTCTATCTCTATGTCCATCTCTATCTCTATCTCTACCTCTATCTCTATCTCTACCTCTATCTCTATCTCTATCTCTACCTCTACCTCTATCTCTATCTCTATCTCTACCTCTACTTCTACTTCTACTCTATCTCTATCTCTATCTCTGTCTCTATCTCTATCTCTATCCCTATCTCTATCTCTATCTCTACCTCTACCTCTACCTCTATCTCTATCTCTATCTCTATCTCTACCTCTATCTCTATGTCTATCTCTATGTCTATCTCTATCTCTACCTCTACCTCTACCTCTATCTCACCTCTACCTCTACCTCTACCTCTATCTCTATCTCTATCTCTATCTCTAGCTCTAGCTCTAGCTCTAGCTCTACCTCTATCTCTACCTCTATCTCTACCTCTATCTCTATCTCTATCTCTACCTCTAGCTCTATCTCTATCTCTATCTCTATCCCTAGCTCTATCTCTATCTCTATCTCTATCTCCACCTACCTCTACTCTATCTCTACCTCTATCTCTATCTTTATCTCTATGTCTACTACTCTATCTCTATCTCTATCTCTATCTCTATCTCTATCTCTATCTCTACCTCTACTCTATCTCTATCTCTATCTCTACCTCTACTCTATCTCTATATCTCTATATCTCTATATCTCTATATCTCTATATCTCTATATCTCTATATCTCTATATCTCTATATCTCTATATCTCTATATCCCCATATCTCTATATCTCTATATCTCTCTATCTCTATCTCTATCTCTCTATCTCTATCTCTATCTCTACCTCTACCTCTACTCTATCTCTATCTCTATCTCTATTTCTATCTCTATCTCTACCTCTGCTCTATCTCTATCTCTATCTCTATCTCTATCTCCATCCCTATCTCTATCTCTATCTCTACCTCTACTCTATCTCCATCCCTATCTCTATCTCTATCTCTATCTCTACCTCTACTCTATCTCTATCTCTATCTCTATCTCTATCTCTATCTCTATCTCTATCTCTACCTCTACTCTATCTCTACCTCTTTCTCTATCTCTATCTCTATTTCTTTTTTCTTTCTCTATCTCTACCTCTACGCTATTTCTTTCTCTATCTCTATCTCTATCTCTACCTCTACTATATCTCTATCTCTATCTCTATACCTCTACTCCATCTCTATCTCTACCTCTACCTCTACTCTATCTCTATCTCTATCTCTATCTCTACCTCTACTCTTTCTCTTTCTCTATCTCTATCTCTACCTCTACCTCTACTCTATCTCTATCTCTATCTCTATCTCTGTATCTATTTCTATCTCTATCTCTATCTCTACCTCTACTCTATCTCTATCTCTATCTCCATCTCTATCTCTATCTCCATGTCTATCTCTACCTCTACTCTATCTCTATCTCTATCTCTGCCTCTACCTCTACCGCTCTCTATCCCTATCTCTCTCTCTCTCTATCTCTCTCGCTCTCTATCTCTATTTCTCTATCTCTATCTCTTTATCTATCTCTCTATCTATCTGTCTATCTATCTGTCTATCTATCTCTCTATCTATCTCTCTATCTATCTCTCTATCTATCTCTCTATCTATCTATCTCTCTATCTATCTCTATCTATCTATCTCTATGTATCTATCTCTATCTATCTATCTATCTGTCTGTCTGTCTGTCTGTATCTATCTATCTCTATCTATCTATCTCTATCTATCCATCTCTCTCTATCTCTCTCTATCTATCTCTATCTATCTCTATCTATCTCTATCTATCTCTATTTATCTCTATCTATTTCTATCTATCTATCTCTATCTATCTCTCTCTATCTATCTCTATCTATCTCTATCTATCTCTATCTATCTCTTTCTATCTCTATCTATCGCTATTTATCTCTATCTATCTCTATCTATCTCTATCTATCTCTATCTATCTCTATCTATCTCTATCTATCTCTATCTATCTCTATCTATCCCTATCTATCTCTATCTATCCCTATCTATCTCTATCTATCCCTATCTATCTCTATCTATCTCTATCTATCTGTATCTATCTCTATCTATCTCTATCTATCTCTATCTATCTCTATCTATCTCTATCTATCCCTATCTATCCCTATCTATCCCTATCTATCCCTATCTATCTCTATCTATCTCTATCTATCTCTATCTATCTCTATCTATCCCTATCTATCTCTATCTATCTCTATCTATCTCTATCTATCTCTATCTATCTCTATCTATCTCTATCTATCTCTATCTATCTCTATCTATCTCTATCTATCTCTACCTATCTCTATCTATCTCTATCTATCTCTATCTATCTATCTATCTCTATCTATCTATCTATCTCTATCTATCTATCTCTATCTATCTATCTATCTCTCTCCCTCTCTATCTATCTCTATCTATCTCTATCTATCTCTATCTATCTCTATCTATCTCTATCTATCTCTATCTATCGCTATGTATCTCTCTCTCTCTCTCTATGTATCTCTCTCTCTCTCTCTATGTATCTATATATCTATATCTATATCTATCTATCTATCTATCTAGCTATCTATCTATCTCTCTATCTATCTCTCTATCTATATCAGTTCTATATCTATCAGTTCTATATCTATGATTACCTATGTATATATATATACACACTATTATTTGTGGCTATTGTCATGACTATCAAATTATGGCCATCATTGTTATTAGCATGATTATCATCACTGATCTATTTTTGCTAAATTATTGTTAGTATGAATTGCTACCTATGATTAGTACGATGAATGTTGTTGATGATGTTGATGGTAATCCCTTTCCATTCTTAGAGTCTCAGAGACACCAGCAACATAATGATAATCATATCATCTAACAGAGTCACAGAGAGGACTAATGAGCTAGCATTATGTTGATGTTCAGTGATGATGATGATGATGATGATGATGATGATGTTGACAAACAGTGGAGAAAGGAGACACATATTCTCCCACAACAGTGTTTTGACTCATGGAGCTTCGCATTTGCAGGAGTTTTCTGAGATTATCGTCCCTTGGACTTATGTTTTAGTTGTATTTTCAAGTCTGACAAACAGACCATTTTGGAGGAACACAATCTCTGACCAGGTGTTTCAACGCACAATCTTGCTGTTCACATCAAACCTTGCCTTTATTTTGCCATGTGCTGCTTGCGTGAACTTCCTCATGGACACTTGAGCCAAATATTCTAAGGTGGAATACAAGACAAACTTCTACGTAAGTAGCATCCAAGTGAGACTCCCTGAGAAGCAACAGCAGTTGCCCCACAGTGTCATTGACTTTGACGGCTACAAGTTCTTCACTGGTCCCAACAATGAATGCAAGTTCCAGCTTGGAGATAAGAGCTTGCTTCCCGACAACGACACTCAAGTAGCTCGGGATATGGCAGGTTCTGGTGAGATCAGCAATTGTGCGGCAGACAACAGTGACACCAGCGACGTGAAGCCTCGCCGGTCTTCGGCCTTGCTGAAGTTTCATCCTCATCCCTTTGAGCACAATGTCAGTGGATGGAGATATTTTTCCATGATGATCCGAAACGCTCAGAGCACGCCGTTGAGAAGCTCCATCAACGGCCAGGAGGCGAACACCTTCCAGATTGTCGTCAACACACCTTGGGAGACAATTGCAGAGATGTCTTTTGAAGCGCTGGAGATCCAGCAAGTTTGGGTTTGCAGTTACTCTCCCTGGTTCGTGACCACCCCATGCACTGCGGACTGTGGTGGTGGCTTCCGCACCAGAGTTCGAAGGAAGCTGCATGCGAATCCCGAAGGCTACAATCCGAAGCTCCTGAAGAGCTGTGATGAGAATATCGAAGAGCACGAGTCCTGCAATACGCAAGAATGTGACTGGTTGGCGGTTTCAGATATTTTTCATTTTCCCCAACATATTTGGAATTATGATAATTATGATCCCCAAGAACTTCATGTGTTTCAGTTGAGACCAGGTGATGTTGACTGCCAGTTGAGTGAGTGGACTCCTTGGGCCAATGGTGAATGCTCTAGAAGTTGTGGCAATGGCATCATGGTGGAACGTCGCAATGTTGTGATGGGCCCCAAAGGCAATGGAAAGAAGTGCCCTCCCTGGTCTGCTGAGGGAGAGCGTGTTCGAGTGGTTCCCTGCAACCCAGATCCGTGCCCTGCGAGCTGCACAGAGTCAAGTCTCGACTTTGAGGAAATGGTCAAAGACTCCAACAGCAAACTCCTGGTCTTCAAAGATGTTCCCCAGCCGGGTGTCAGAGCCATTGAGGAAGCCGAGGCAGCGGCGGCTGATGATCAAAATGATCAAAATGATCAGAGCGAAGAGAATGAGGAGACACAGAACGAGACCTCCACGAAAGAAAGCGATGAAGAGTCCCAAGAAGCCCAAGAAGCCCAAGAGTCGGAAGATCAGGCTGGCATTGGTGAAGGTGAAGATGATTCGAAGGTTGATGAGGATGCTCGCTTGCTTCAAGGGCGTTTATTTTTTGTTTCTATTTGTTGTTTTTTGTGTTCCTGAAGGTCCCCCAAGGGGTTCTGCACAGATGTTGGGTTTGCTGATTCATTCAGGATGCCACGCAATCCTTGCTGTGACGAAGTTGCAATTAGGGAACGGCTTTGCGTTGGATGTCGATCAAGATGAAATCTAATGTCAGAATCCAGGCCCGATTTGCTAATTCTAGGTTCCTTGGTGCCAGCACATTTCTTGGGCCGAAGCTACCCCAGAAACGGTGCCCCACTTTTGTTGCGCTGTGATACTGGCGCAGTTCCTTGAGTCATGTCGCCATGTCGCAGAACTGTCTCAGAATATCCTGGGTTTGTTTGACTTGTGGAAGTTGTAGAGCCGCTTCTTGCCTGATTGGTCAATCTGCAGCCAGTACCCGGCCTGTGCTTAGCTTTGCTTACTCTTTACCCAGATTCAATGCTTCCGAGGTCCACCCAAGAGACGCCAGCAATTCAATTTGGCTTTTCCAAATCAAGCTGCTCTGAGCCCTGTGGTGGTGGACGCCGACTGGTGCCTTGGAACAAGTGCGTGCAACATCAATCTGTCCATCTAAGTCTAGGTGGAACTTTACTTTTTCCAACATCTTTTGTCTATATATATATATAATATGTATCTACAACGACTGCCTTCTCAACAAAATCCTTTCGTAAGGACCACGGATTGCATTTCCCCAACACACAAATGAGCCAAATGGATCCAAATGGCATCAGTCCAGCAATCTTGAAATGCATGGGACAGCTCCAGACTTGGCATCCCAACACAATTGCGCAGGCAGATTATGTGCCATTGTGTTACTCCAAGTTGTTATCTTCACTGGACAAGACGTTTTTGAATTCATTTCGAAGATGAAAAACATTGAGGTGCTAGCACCATCAGAGCAGAAGGTGTCATCAGGGAAGGAGGACAAGTCCTGCTACACCGCCTTTGAGGAGGACTGCAACACTTTCGCGTGTCGACCTTTGATGATTCAGCCGGCCACAGCTTGGCAGCTGCTCGGAGAAATACGGAGAGAAAGGGCTTTGGAAACTTGAGGTTTTTTCGAAGTGTTTGGAATGTTTGAAAAGGCTGTCAAGTCTTTTTGAAATCTGGCCAGAAACAAGCCTTGCACATGCTTGCACAGTTCTATTCTACCAAGGTTCCCTGTTGCTGGCAAGTGGTTCATGGTGGACGTGGAGTTTGTCATTGAGGAACTGGCAGAATCCTTGACGCTTCGTGCGCCTCCTGATTTCCTGTTGGCTGCCACTGGTGAGAGGAGCGAGTGCTTCTTGGTGGAGCATAGCTTGCCGAACTTGGAGAACTGCACGGTGTATCCTGGTCAAACCAGTGACAAGACCGGTCCCATCATTGTGTTGGACTTTTCCAATCCCCTGGAACCGCAAACCTCTTATACCACGAAGCAAGACTGGTACTACATGCGCTTTTGGGTTCAACATCCTGAGAATTGTAGTGGTGGAAAGACTGCAGATGGCCGATGTCTTGGTCTGGTGGGCGAGCGGGAATGGACTTTGTCGCTCAAACTGAGCGAACCCAACTCGCTTTGGGAAGAAGTGAAAGGCTGGGGTGAAAACTGCTTGCCCTTGTTCCAAAAGTGTCGACATTTCGTTGTTGAACTTCCCCCAAAAATGTCATGGCTATATTATGAAGAAGTATATTGTTTCTTCCAAGCCCCCGGTCTTTGTTTGCGCGTAGCAAGCGACCAGATAGATTCAATAGTTTCTGGACCTCTTTTAGGGTTTGGTAAGTGTTCGTGGTTGGAGATGACCATTTTTCCCCATTTTTTCTTTGATTTGGCCAGGCTCCTACGAGATCTTTGTGGATGAGAAATGGGCCAAAGCCGCGTTCGAAGCCAACGCGGCCAACGGCCGCCCTTTCGCCGACGAGGCGGAAGAGGTGGACGCGGAAGCGTCGGCGAAGGATGCCCCCGACGGCTCGGATGGCGATGGCGGCGATGGCGGCGATGGCGGCGATGTGAAGGAAGATTCCTTGATGGAATCGCAGGTGCGACATCACAGAGGTCACCACAGGAAACATGCCGGACGGTGGAGAAGCTGATGCTCTATTGACAATGTGAAGTGCAAGAGTGGCAGAAAAAAGTCCCAGCGTGTGCGTGCATTAAGAAAGGCTTGCTTTTTCATTTTCTTCCCTGAGAGCTCATAAGTGTTGGTCCCAAGACTCTCTCTCCTTCTTTCCTTCAGCCTCTACTTACAATTTTGTTGCTTGTGAATGTGTTTTTGCTTGTTTTTGTGCAGTGCGTCATCAATTTGACCCAGCCAAACGGCTCTTTGGCCGACGCCGACACTAAGATCTACTTTCTGGACAAGCTGTCGGATTTGGAATCCACTGATGACGACGCAGACCATGCGATTGAAGAGGTAATCCACGTTTCCCAGCAGCATTCATAGCAGCTCAACCGTTCCTGTGACTTCACTGGTCAATTTTCCTGCAGCTCAACTATCATGTAGTCCATTAGATGGCAAGGTCAGTCTTGGCTGAGCTTGGCAACCTTGATTCTTAGCCCGGTCAGTCCAAGCTGCCCAGGCCATTGGCGTATCTGTGGGCTTTGCTTGGGAGCAGCCACTTGGATTCATTGTGGCGTAGAGCAGTTGCAAGTGTTGCTTTTAAATGATGACAAGATCCAGCGAAAACGAGACCATTCTCTGGTGTAAACGGAGATGGATGTGCTATGCCATGGTGGGCAGTGAGGTTTAGCCAGTTAAGCTGTCATCCGACGCGACTCAGGGCATTTGATGCTGGAGTGGAGACGATTGGCACCATGTTTGCAAAGATGTCTACACGCCCATGCATTGAGCTGCATGGTATCCACACGAGACAAAGATACCGCTCCAATGCTCACCAGATTCCAGTCCTGCCCGCAGGAGAATTTGCCTGTATATGTGGGTATATCATTGTAGTACATAGTACAGTATATATAATAGTATATATTATAGTATATATAATAGTATATATTATAGTAGATATAATAGTATATATAATAGTATATATAATAGTATATATTATAGTAGATATAATAGTATATATTATAGTATATATATATATCATAGTATATATCATAGTATATATAATATAGTATATATATATTATAGTATATATTAGAGTACATATGATGGCTGGAAAACTATAATAAGTATATATATATTATAGTATATATACAGTATATATTATAGTATATATGATAGTATATATTATAGTATATATATATTATTGTATATATTATAGTATATATATTATTGTATATATTATAGTATATATATTATTGTATATATTATAGTATATATTATTGTATATATTATAGTATATATTATTGTATATATTATAGTATATATTATTGTATATATTATAGTATATATTATAGTATATATTATTGTATATATTATAGTATATATTATTGTATATATTATTGTATATATTATTGTATATATTATAGTATATATTATAGTGTGTATTATAGTACATTATATATATGTATATATATTAGAATACATATACTATATATATATAGTATGTATATTCATAATATAGAGTATATATAGTATATATGTATAGCGTATACACATATATATATATATACATAGCATATATATATATATATAGTCATGGGGGCTAGGCGGGGGCTATGGGGGGGGGTCTATGAGCTTATCATATAAGGTCCTGATAAGAGCTGGTTAGTATAAGCACCTATTAGGGTCTTATTAGACCTTTATTAAGGCTGGATAAGGGCTTATTAAGGCCTTATTAAGGGGTTATCATCTAAAGCCTTGTTAAGGTCTTATCCCCCATGGATAGCTGAACTTCCTTATCCACTGCTTATCCTAAAAATGATGGATGATGTAAGCCCACATCTGAACAAGGAAGAGGATTGTTTCTGGCCATCTTACCGTGGCGAAGTTTTTGTAGACTTCGCTGAATTCTAGACAATATGAGATCTAACGGCGGGTTTTGGCGATTGTCTTCAGATGTTTCTTTTTAGTTTTTGATGATTCTGTTTTTTCTTTCGATTTTTTGTGTGATTCGTGTTTCATTTCCGTGACGTTTGATGTTTTTCTGTGATTTTGAGTGGTTTCGCATGGTTTTTGGTTTGTATAATGTTTTTTTGAGTATTTGTGGGGATTTGGTGCCCTGAAGGTCATTTTCGGGGGGGGGTTCTATGGTCAAATAGGTGCTGTTTCCCTGCTTATCCACTGCTTATCCACCACTTAGGGTTAAGCAGTGGATAAGCCCTTATTAAGCTCTTATTAAGCCCTTATCCTCTCACCCCAATCCAGGTCAAGTGACCCATTTGCGTGCAAATTGCCTGCCTTGGGTATCGCCTCCCCGCTTTGAGTCTTTGATTTCTTTTTCATTATCTTGAATGCATGGGCCATGCGTTTGCCAATAGACTGTCTATCCCTGGAGATTTAAGTTGCATTTTTGTTCTTGCTTGCTTGTTTCTAGCAAGCCTTGCCCATGCCACTCGAGCCAAATCCTGGTACCTCTCAATTTTGCAATAAATAACAACACACCAACCTCTCCAAACATTTCTTGCTGAACAGAGTCATCATTGGCTTATCCATAGCTTATCCAGGCTTATCCACAGACCCCCCCCATAGACCCCCCCAAGTTTCCATGATATAGTGTATAAATATAGCATACATATATGGTATATATGTATAATATAGGCGCATTACGTGATTATATATATATATGTATGATACTCATTTGAATATATCTCAGTCTAAAGGAAGACATTCCAATCCGAGCAGACTTCATTTTTCTGCTTCTTGTTTCACCTCGGTGACACGAGGTGAACGCACCGAGTCTTTAGGGAAATGGTACCCAGTTTGGGCTCGACTGGGCTTCGCGCTGATGATCAGCGCCGTTGGGCTTCCCAGTGGGGATCGACGGGACGGGATGATCAGCACCGGACCTGGCACCGGACTGGCGAGGGGCGTGAATGTCATCCCTGAGGTGATGATCCCGGCGTGGAGGCTTTATTTGATCAAGAGATCTCTGGAAACTTGGAGCGTTGGCGTTGGCGACTCGTGCTCGTTGAACATGGTATGTTAGAATGGTTGTTTTCCGGTATTCTCCCTGCCGGTGTCAGCGGCCTGTGTACTTTATCATACTTTATTGAATTTGTGAAGTCCTTGGTGTGACTTGGATTTCACCACTCAAGAAACATGCAATTTGTCACATGGGACCATTCAGTGGCAGGAAAAATTGGGTACCGACCACGAAGAAACTCTGGGCATTTCTTTGACCAGCTCTTTGATAAGGAAAAACACGTACAGTGCAAGAAAAAGAACAAGGAGGGCGCTCACGGTGGTGACAACAAGTGTGATTTGACAGCATTTTATTGGGGTACTGACAGGGCGTAGATGTGGACATGAGGGCTCTCTATTGACTCTATTGGGCCTTTGGCTTGCTATCGCTTGAAAACTATGTGAGTCCGTTCAGTGTCTGTTTGGGGCGCTTGTGTTTTGGCAACGTCATCACCAACTGCAAGAGATTCTGTGTCCAATCGAGACTAGAAATTTTGGTCATGGAAACTCTGATACTTTGACTGATCAAAAGTTGAAATGCTGGCTGAGAATAACCATACTCAAAAGGTACCTTCCCAATTAAGCAGCCTAGGGGTTTATTAATCCAGGGTTGACATCACCCGCCACAAAAACATGTTTGGCTGCCCAAGGCGAAGCTGTCCTTGTAATCGATGCCAAACACTGTGTCTTGGTTCGGTGGTTACAAGAAAAGCGGGACCGGGAAGCACCCCAGTTGGATCATTTCCAGGGGGGCAACTTTGTGGTAGTCGGGCAGTTGCTAAACGGATGTTTTTTTTGAACTTTTCCCGCCAGAAATGCAGCAATTTGATGCAATTTGCAATTGAAAGTTCTGGGTGCACAAGTTCCTGGCAACGAACTTTCGATAGGCCACATGTGCGGTCTGAAGATAGAGGATGATGGTGGACGCTCGCCCTAGGCTTAAGGCTGGAGTCATTTTCAGCGTTGCATGAGGGATTGAAGTCTATAGAGGCTTCCCTTTTTGCTGGACAGACATGAGGACAGGGCAGAACAGTATTTATGCAGCGCACTGTTCTCGGAATGGCCAGGCATTTCAAACGCCAGTGACATTACAAGAACTGAGCTTCAGTATCCGAGATCTCTTGACAGGAACCAGCAGCAAGTGCTTGTTCCGGCAGTTCTGGATTTCATTTTTTTAGTCCAGCAAGATTGTTGAGTCTGAAATCAGCTTCACTGGAATCTCCCCAGGCCGGCACAGAAAACCAGTGGGCTCCGGTATTCTCATGACACCAATCCAGAACTGACAGTTTCATGGCTCCAGTGGGCGGATGCGGGTACCTTGCAGGACTTTCGGCAGCTTTCAACCAGAAAAAATGATGAAAAGGTCGAAAGTCCGACTCAAGGCAATTAAGTATAGCTAATTCACTGTTTAACACTTTCTGCGCTCGATTGTGATAATCCGGCTGTCTGGGAATATACGATGGGATTCCCAAAACTTGGCGCGTTGCTTTGTTTTGTTTGTTTTACAGCAGGGAAAAAGACAGAGGGGGAATCCCGGATTCCCAGACAAAGCAAGTTCGCCCCTGCTTGCTGAGGTGCGTATAAGTCCAAGGTATGTCTCAGTTTTCCGCGTTATGGCAATCTGAGTGAACCCAGACAAGCACAGGGGTTTGTCAGCATGCAACAAGATATTACGTTGATTGTTTGGACCGGGTTGACCTTACATGTTCCAGAATTGATAACTTTCTGTGCACATCTCCAAAAACATCTTTTTGTTGTATTGTCGGTTTGAATGATACACTTGTTTGTTTGTCGGTGGATCCGCCCTTCCGTCGATTCCCCCATCTATACACATACATATGAGAGTTACATATGTGTATATACGGTACGGACACATCAAGTATTACATGTCGATAATTCGCAATGCATTTGTGTGCATCTCTACACAGCAGTTCTACATGTTCTACCCGAACTCGGATGCACGCGCATCCATGATCCATACACTGAGCTATGCCACTATGCGCACCGAAGGCGTGGATGTCAAAGTCACTTTTCAAAGGTCAGTCGCAGGTGGACCGGCCAAAGTGCTGCCTGTTCCCTGTGAAGGGTCACTGGCGCGACCGCCAGGCAATAGCCATAGCTTGTTGGGAGTTGAAAATGATTGAGCCTCAAATTGGATGGTGCATTAGTGCAATACCAGAGTTTGGTATTCCCTTACCTGCCCAGTTTTGGAGGTCCGGTTGCTTCATGGTTCGGCGATGGTTGAAACGGCTATGGTTCCGATGGGGTGAGGCTAGACTTACTGGCCATCTGCCGAATGGATGGTGTACCAGCCGTCCTGTATCACCGATAGCTGTTGCAGGGCCGAAGGCCCAAGAGATGAGAGCAAGGAATAGAAAAAACGTGACAACTGACTCCAGCGGGTCAGATCCCAGTTCCAACAGTACGATGAGTCAATTAGTCCAGATAGTGGGGTGAACACCTAAATCAGTCCAGATAGTGGGGTGAATACCTACTGGAGGGAACTCAAAGCAGCACCATTTTCAGTGCAGGTGGCAACTTCACGTGTCGCTCTCCAGATCCGAAACTTGCTAAATCCAATCCACCTGGCAACGGTCACCGACCCTTGCCATGGGTCACCGACCGTTGCCCTTAAATGACTGCGGTGTCGACTGTTGCAGGGAGCGCGTCCCTGGCAAGTTGGAAGCTTGGAAGGTGGTGCTTTCTGAGATTTACTGCGAGACTGACGCAACTGTGTGAAAGGTGCAGTTTTCACATGTGTTACACATCAGCTGGATGAGAATTCAAGCATGGATCAAAATTATGTAGATCCTTAGATCCATTTAGTTCTTGAAAGCGACCAATTCTGTGGGACGCGGGGTACCAAACTTCCAACCAAGCACACACAAAAACTCTGCTGAGGAATTGGGCCGAGGCATGCGTGCTAGTCGCAGATGAGGCTCTGAAAGTGCAGGCGCGCAAAAAGCGTTTGCAATCTGAGGGTGAATCGCAGCTGCTAAGTGGGTCATAACATGTCACAACCATATACCGTATCAAATATCCCAGAATTAATGTTGGTTATTCTATGACCATTGACTCAAGTTGGGATGCACGCATTCATGCCGTACTTGTGGCAATGGTTGCCGTCACTGGTCCAACCTTGATTCTTTCTAGAATGATGACGATGATGATGATGATGATGATGAGGATCAGGAGGATGCTGTTTCTTAGGTTCTTGTTCGCATCGATTCGCATCCTTTCGCCTTTGTTGCTGAGCTGTCCCGTGCCTTCGAAGGAATCCAATGAGCTGGTGGATCCGAGCTTGGCCGAGGACAGACACACTGAGTTATCCTGACTTTGTATCCAAGGAAAAGCCCCATGAAAAAAACGAAGGAATCTTTTGACACAAAAACTCAGTCTTTACAAACCGGTAGAGCGCAATGCGCAATGAAACAAACATGACATGACCGGTATCTCACACGAGAGATAGCGATCATCTAATGAGATGGATATCTGGTCAGTATGCATACTGTTATGGATGCTGACCTGATTTTCATAATATGACTGACACCTTGACATAGAAATTTCCAACACACACACAAACCAATGCCCCCTCCATTGCACAGAAACACGATACGATTCATACGATATACTAACACTACAAACTACAAACTATTTAGTGCCCCAATCATTGCAATTGCAACGGAAGACCATGAAAAATGCGCTGCTGGACTTTCACTTGGACATCCGCAAATAAAAGCATAGCAGCACAGCAGCATAGCTTTTCAATTTACCTGAAACATTGATCCGGCAAGCCCAAATGGATCAGTTTGCTTCTTTGTTGTAGGAGCTGGTGTCGACTCTGGTGGAGGCAGAGCGGCCCTGTCCAGAAGCCCCAGTGGGCCCAGTGGAAGGCTAAGCGAAAATCGCCACGCGTGGTGCGGCGCCCACCGCATCCAAGGTCAGGCGCTGGAGGTTTTCACGCAGCTGGCTGTGAGCGATGTGGCTCGGCAAGACTCTGGTGGAGGTGACGGAGGTGACTGCCATGGATCCTTGACCAGCTGGTGGTTGGTTTGTTGTAGCAATGACTTTGGGAGACTAGATTGTCAAAAATGTGAACCTGACTTGAATACTGGGGGCAATTTGTCGTTCTCAAACCCGGTACGCAGTGAACCATCCAGAACCCGGTATGTAGTGAACCATCGAACATCACTGCAGTATAATCTCGTGTGCCACACTTGAAGCTCTGTCATTCTCTGTTGCTGAGGCACAACGTGCAGTGAACCTCCTTTTGAGGCGCTGCTGCGACATGCGGAAGGTGTAAAACGAAGTGTGTAGGATTCTATAGGCTTTTCAATGAAGGGGTAGTACAGAGAGGAAGTGCAGAGATTCACACTCTGATTTTGGCTGTTTGAAGCGAGAATGCGTACAACCGGAAATACTTTAAAAAAACATTGATTTCCTATCAGCCTTGCAGGGAGCGCGAGATGAGGTCCAAAGCAGACCCAGAGGCTTTGAGCTGAGGATACGAAAATTAAGTCATGTTGCAAATGGAGTCTGCAAAAATTTATCGTGTATGCGTTTTCATGGCTTTCGGATACCTGCAAGATCATGAACTCACCCTGGTCAGTTGGCACTTTTTTTTGCAAGGTGTTGGAGGAGTTGAAAGCAGGTGCTGTGTTCAGGGGGTGGTCTTCAATGGTGCAAAAGCGATAGTTCCGATTGTTGCCCGCGAAGATTACTGTTTAACCTGATCCAAGATGGCTTGGGCAGTGACTTGGGCAGCTTGGGTACCTCTTAAAAGTTGGAGGGTTACTGACGGTTACTGCATACGATCCCAGCTCGGGTACCCCGCATATCATGCCTGGCGCCGGGCTGTTCTGTGCTGTCCTTGGCTCGAACCCGAACAGTCGCTGTGAGTCACTTGTACCAGGCCCGCCCTTGGTGAAAATTGTGACCCCGAGCCATGGGTATTCAGAAGTGCAGAGAATCTTTGTAGATATCATATCTGCATAATTCTGCATGTGCATATATATATACACACCCTATGCTTGAATATATCCATTTTTGAAGAGAACAAGCACAAGCAGCTAGTTGCAAGCGCTTCGATTTCTGACAGGTTGCCCCGCTGCTGTTGCGGCGTTCTTCATGTTTGAAGGATGGGCTCCGGCGTCTGAGTACCGAACATGGACGATGTTTGGGTATGATGTTTGGGTAGATTAATACAGATTGGTGCTTCGAAATTAGAAGCACAGACATAGATGCAGGATGATGCAGGTTTGTACATCATGTATTGACACAAGATGTATTGGAGACCAACACCCATACAGACGGGCCAGGTTACAGCTGAAGCTACAAGTTCTACGTATATATGGCGAGCCTGAGCTCAAAATGTTGCTGTCTTTCGACTTTTCAGGGACGATGTACAGGAAACCCCTAGATTTGGGGATTTTTGGGGATTTTTGGGCCATGGTTTCTTCTGAGTTTTCCCTTACATCAATCCATTGCGTCTGGAACTTTTCTACTGAGGGAGGAAAGATCCAGCTCCGCTGATCTAAAGCCTTTCTCTGACAAGCACCTTGGTAAGAAAAAAACAAACTGAAAGGCTTCAGAAAGCATGTGTTCTTTTTGCAGTGTCACGCATGTGTATCATATCGACTTGGACACTATTTGCGAAAGCACTGGAAGGAACTTTGCCGTGTATCAACAGCCTACGTGTTGAGGATAAGGAATGACGCGTAACACAAGGTCCTAGGTCTTGTTTTGAGTCCAAATATCCACCGAGCAGGTATTTCAAGACCTTCCTGAAATGGACCCTTAGCTGGACTTGAGCTGTGTTCTGACGCTGGGTTGCTGCAAAATGGTGACTTGAGTTTAAGACAAAGTGGAGCAGAACAACTTGTCCCGACAGCGCAAAGACTTCGCAGACAAAGGTTTGAAGGCTGTTGACCAGTGCCAAGGTCCTTTCCTCCCCTAATTTGCGCTGTATGCTTTTTCTTTCAAAGCGTGACTTGCCGTTGAACTATCATGGATGTGTTGCATTCAGGGCCTCAGGTCCTTTAAATGAGACATGTCTCACAAGAAACGGATATTTCTCATGTCGGTTCCGAGCCCTGCCTTTTAAAGTTGCATCATGTTGCATCATGAGGTAATGTTGCACATGACCACAGTAAAATACGTGCGGCTGCCCGGACTGGAGAATCACCAAGGGAAGGCGATGCATGACATGGAGTGGCTTCAGTGGGGTGATCCCTTTGGAGGATCAGGAGTCCTGTTTTAGTTTTCGAAATTCAGATTTTGAACATCATGTCTTTTGAAATATATTGAAATATATTAATTATTCATATTATATCTATTTATATTTACACTTTATGTTTATTTATACATATATATATATCTACATACATACGCAGATCTCTCTCTCTCTCTCTGTCTGTCGTCTATCTATCTATCTATCTACCTATCTATCTATCCATCTATCTATCTATCTATCTATCTCTATCTATCTATCTATCTCTATCTATCTATCTCTATCTATCTATCTCTATCTATCTATCTATATCTATCTATCTATATCTATCTATATCTATCTATATCTATCTATATCTATCTATATCTATCTATATCTATCTATATCTATCTATCTATCTCTATCTATCTATCTATCTATCTATCTATCTATCTATCTATCTATCTATCTCTATCTATCTCTATCTATCTCTATCTATCTCTATCTATCTCTATCTATCTATCTATCTCTATCTATCTATCTCTATCTCTATCTATCTCTATCTATCTCTATCTATCTCTATCTATCTCTATCTATCTCTATCTATCTCTCTATCTATCTATCTCTATCTATCTCTATCTATCTCTATCTATCTATCTCTATCTATCTCTATCTATCTCTATCTATCTCTATCTATCTCTATCTATCTCTATCTATCTATCTATCTATCTCTATCTCTATCTATCTCTATCTATCTATCTATCTATCTATCTATCTATCTATCTATATCTATCTATATCTATCTATCTATCTATCTATCTATCTATCTATCTATCTATCTTCTATCTCTATCTATCTATCTATCTCTCTATCTATCTCTATCTATCCTCTAATCTATCTCTATCTATCATCTATCTATCTCTATCTATCTCTATCTATCTATCTATATCTATCTATCTATAATCTATCTATCTATCTATATCTATCTATATCTATCTATATCTATCTATATCTATCTATATCTATCTATATCTATCTATATCTATCTATCTATCTATCTATATCTATCTATATCTATCTATATCTATCTATATCTATATCTATATCTATATCTATATCTATATCTATATCTATATCTATCTATCTCTATCTATCTCTATCTATCCCTATCTATCTCTATCTACCTCTATCCATCTCTATCCATCTCTATCTATCTCCCTCTATCTATCTCCCTCTATCTATCTCCCTCTATCTATCTCTCTCTAGCTATCTCTCTCTATCTATCTCTCTCTATCTATCTCTCTCTCTATCTCTCTCTCTCTCTCTATCCCTCTCTCTCTCTCTCTCTCTCTCTATCTCTCTCTATCTCTCTCTATCTCTTTATCTCTTTATCTCTTTATCTCTTTATCTCTTTATCTCTTTATCTCTTTATCTCTTTATCTCTTTATCTCTTTATCCCTTTATCTCTTTATCCCTTTATCTCTTTATGTCTTGATCTCTTTATGTCTTGATCTCTTTATGTCTTGATCTCTTTATGTCTTGATCTCTTTATGTCTTGATCTCTTTATGTCTTGATCTCTTTATCTCTATCTATCTCTATCTATCTCTATCTATCTCTATCTATCTCTATCTATCTCTATCTATCTCTATCTATCTCTATCTATCTCTATCTATCTCTATCTATCTCTATCTATCTCTAACTATCTCTATCTATCTCTATCTATCTCTATCTATCTCTATCTATCTCTATCTCTATCTATCTCTATCTATCTCTATCTATCTCTATCTATCTCTATCTATCTCTATCTATCTCTATCTATCTCTATCTATCTCTATCTATCTCTATCTATCTGTATCTATCTCTATCTATCTCTATCTATCTCTATCTATCTCTATCTATCTCTATCTATCTCTATCTATCTCTATCTATCTCTATCTATCTCTATCTATCTCTATCTATCTCTATCTATCTCTCTCTATCTCTCTCTATGTATCTCCATCTATCTCTATCTATCTCTATCTATCTCTATCTATCTCTATCTATCTCTATCTATCTCTATCTATCTCTATCTATCTCTATCTATCTCTATCTATCTCTATCTATCTCTATCTATCTCTATCTATCTCTATCTATCTCTATCTATCTCTATCTATCTCTATCTATCTCTATCTATCTCTATCTATCTCTATCTATCTCTATCTATCTCTATCTATCTCTATCTATCTCTATCTATCTCTATCTATGCTCTATTATCTCTATCTATCTCTATCTATCTCTATCTATCTCTATCTATCTCTATCTTCTCTATCTATCTCTATCTATCTCCTTATCTATCTATCTATCTATCTCTATCTATCTATCTCTATCTATCTATCTCTATCTATCTATCTCTATCTATCTATCTCTATCTATCTATCTATCTCTATCTGTCTCTATCTATCTATCTCTATCTATCTATCTATCTATCTATCTATCTCTATCTCTATCTCTCTCTATCTCTCTCTATCTCTCTGTCTCTCTGTCTCTCTGTCTCTATCTCTCTATCTCTCTCTCTATCTATTTAGCTGTCTGTCTGCCTGCTTGGCTGGCTGTCTGTCTTTCTGTCTTTCTGTCTGTCTCCATAGATGGATGACTGTTGCATATGATCACCCCAACGTTTGGCCGATGTTCGCATGGGAGAGTACCATCGCCGGACTTGGATCCTTTCCTTGGCAGCCTCATGAGGTCCTGCTGCACGACAAGAGCCCTCTCCATGATGATCTAGGCCATGGGCCGCAAATTTTGTCACCATGTCACCTAGGTGTTGGGGAAACACCACGTGTTGGAGACTTCCTCAATTTTTTGACAACTTGGATTTCATTTGGATCAAAAAACCGGAAATCCCTTGGTTCTCTTTTATCCATTTTGTCCTTCCGATCCTGCACACCGCTTCCCGTTTCTTGCTCTTGCTGGATCTTTGGCCTTTCCGCTATTCGAGCCGTGGAATTTTGGTGCCAGGCCATGAGCTATTCAAGAAGGAAACTGTGGCAATGTGACTGGCCAAACTTAGAAAAGGGACGGAAAAACTGCCACGCCCTCCAATCTCTTGGCTGCTCTGGTGCTGAGGAAAGTCTTGGATGCTTTGTCTGTGGCTCCTCCTCTTCTGGTCATTGTGGGCATACTGCTTTTGCGTGACGCGAGGCCGTTGAGATCTGTTGAACTTTGTCAGTGTGAGATCGGTTCTGGGCGCCTTGCTCGCTCCGCCTTGCCCTCAAGGCTTTGGGCGAAGGTGTTCTTCAGCAACGCAATCCTCTTCGTTCTCAAAGGCCGGGATCACGGTCCTCATCTGCATCGCCTGGAGACGCGAACGGGGCTACCGCCAGGTTTATTCGACTGGATGACAGTACTCCCAGATTCGATCGGCTTCGGAGCATGCAAAGAGAGGTCGCACGGTCGACATTGGTGTGGGCACATTGGTCATTGGGGCCGAAACCATTGGTTTCGATCATTCAAATCACCATAAATCAAATTAAAAAATCAGGTTTTTTATGTTTCTGTTTGGGACATTCCCCATTGTGGATACTGTGGAATGGTCCGAATGGTGAAGTCTGCAAGCCATTCTCTGAAGATCTCCGAGATCTTCCCTCAGGCTGGGGGATGAACCGCTGAAGTACCTGGAACGCATGGGTCAACTCAGTGGTCTGGCACTCGGCACTGAAGCATGTGATGAGCATGTGATGAGCATGTGATGAGCATGTCTTCTGATGGTTTTTTCTCTGATGTTCAGTGTTTTCGTAATTCAAATCTGAAGTGCAGCAGACGTGTTTTCGTTTCTGAATCGGAAGGTGAGAACTGTGATGTTGATGCCTGAACACTGTTCACATAAAGCTCGGCTTGGATGAGTTTGGACGTGCATTCTTCCTGAGGCACCGAGTATTTTTCAGCTTTGCTTGAGCTGGAACTTTATGGTGTTGGGAAGGTTCGGCCTGTGCGATACTGTGCTGATATGCTCATGAGTGGTCATACCTTCGCAACTTGGCCCAGCGTAATGCAGTGCTATGGGCGTACACACACATGAATGGCGTTACGATATGCAACGCAACCCAGCCCAACACAACACAGCGTGACGTAGCATATACACAACATAGCATGACACAACACAACATGACATAGCATAGCATAACATAACATACATGAATACACTTGAATTTCGGGACAGTCCACTCAAGAACCCTTTGTAGTATTTTGAGGGATGGGGGTGGGGGATTGGGGTGTTTAGGGTTAGGGGGGGGTTTGGGATCTGGGGGGTCAGGCTGGGATATGGAGACACAGACATCCATCTATCTACCTATCTGCCTATCTGCCTATCCAAGCTAGATTTAATCTAATCGAATCCAAGCGATTCTATTCTGATCTATTTTATTCTATTCTATTCTATTCTATGAACTTCTATTCTATCTATCTAGTGTGTTTGTATGCATTTATTTATACTATATTCTCTATAGGTGTGTATATGCGGTCTCAATTTCCTTATGGGGGCTGAACTGCTCAAAATACAGCCAGCACTCGTGAACAAACTATCCTGAGCTATTGGCACTTTCAGAGAAAACTACCAATCAGACATACATAAAATCTAAGAATATCACAGCAGATACCTTTTTTCCTCACTCCTTTTCTGGGGTGCCAGAAATTGGCCTCGTGGAAAGGCACCAGGCACCACCAATTGGGTATGAGCCCGGCAGTCAGGTAACGGTTCTGTACATGTTGGCTCTGGCTGATTTGGTGCGGCGCATCACCATTTTGATGCCTCCAATCCCCAGAGCCTAGGCCTTTTCAGGGAAGGTGTCAGGGATTTTCCCTGAAAAACTGGGATGGTATATGCAGCTAGCGGTGCCACCAAGGAGTGATATGGAGAATTTCTATGGGCAGCTCGGCAGCGACATTCTTTGACACTGAGATCTAGTTGGACTATTGTGGACCCCAAGTTGCTGTAGATGAAATCATGACTTCCCTATTGGCGTATGGTGTGGTTTGATCTTTTGTGGTCCTTGTGCACCACCATGGACCGAGGGACAGATTGTTTTGCTCGTGTTTTTTCTCTTGTTCATAATAGCTCAGGCATTTTTGCAGCTCTCTGCGTGGGAGCAGATTTGTATTTGATTGTCAAGACCCGCTTCCACTACACCGTTGATATTGTCATGGCAATTGGGATCACCCTCCTCATTTACACGAATGCTGGAGCCTTGACTCAGCACCTGCTGGAGGTTCGCACTCCGACATGTTTCCACCTTTTGGGATAGTCCAATCCGTGCAGGCATATCCCAAGGAAATCTATCACTGCTATCCGATGCTATCCGCCATACAAAGGGTCCCCTAGAGTTGCCAAGGAATGGCTCTACTTGCCCAGTGGTATGCATCAGACGGGAAGAGGCGGGATTGAGCTGGTGATGGGGAGAAGTGCTTGGCCACAGCTTTTGGTTCAGGAACATTGTCAAGTCAGACCTGTTTCAAATGCACTACCCTTGACACGAGTGAGATTCATTCCAAGTAGCATGCATAGGCGCTCTCTTCTCATGTTACCCACTTTTGACATTTTTTGACAATGTGAGCTGAAACAGCCAGCAACAACCATTGAAAAGCCGGTAAAGCTGACAGCTTAGACTTGCAACACTTTCATTTCCACTTGTTCCACGTCGCATGCAGGAACTCTGCTGAAGCCGATATCGTTTGGTTGCCAGCAATATTGATTCCTTTCTGCTGCTTACATGGATACTACTCAGTCAGAGAGAGGCTTGGGCGCATGGTAGCCCAATGGCTTCAGCATACAGTCCCAACCTATGACCACCAACTGGGTATCCCCACAGCTGAGGATGGAGGATCAGCAAGTTGCTGACCTACAGGCGCACTTCCGATGGCTTTCGGGTGTCCGTTGAGGATCACATCAGTTTTCTACCAGGAAGTATTGGTATCCATAACTTGCATGGCAGAATCCTTGGCGGCTTGGCGACTGAGGACAACGGGGCTTGAAATGTCTTCAAATCAAGGGCAGGGATGGTTTTTTCCATGGTTTTTTCGCTTCAATTTTCAGGCAACCATTCTGTGTCACCAATTCGGATCGATTTGGTCATCATGATTGACATTTCCTTGTGGCCTTGTGTTCCGAAGGCAAATAATGAGAGCTCTACCTGGCAATGGCTGACCGAAACCTTCAAGACATCGTCAGAGGAGTCTCTCAGTCCGGAACAGGCGAACAGGCGGAGTTGAGAACTTGGCAACGACATCATAGGATGCTGATAGACATCATGGTTCCAAAAAGTAAATCGCAACCGTTCATACCAACCGAAAGGAGGTAACAGTAACATTGGCTATGGTTTGTCATCAGATTTACAAAAAAATGCAGCTTCTTTTTGACAAAGTCCAAGTTCAGTACGGTTATCTTCTATGGAGTAGACAAAGCTGTGCCCTGTTTCCAGGTGCAGAGCTATGGAAGTGCGCAGACAGCCCCAAAGAGTGAGGCCACGTGAAATTCCCAGCCTGGTTTGTTGCCAAGACTCAAAATCAATGGATGTGGGCTGTTTCTATGTGTGTTTGAGACTTCTAAATTTGGTACTTTGGTGATTGCACGCAATCACACTTCTGATCGGAAGTACCTATGGTTTGTGATTTTTTGGATTGTACCTATGTTTGTGACGTTCTGGTACCCCAAATTCTCACACACACACACACACTTAGACGTTTGCGGTCGGCCGCGTGATAGGCTGAAGTCGAGGGATCGGTCTGACAGTGATGGTATGCCGCACAGATACCGGCAGGGAAAAGACCATGCTGATCCTGCTGTGCCAAATACATCCCCAAATCAATGGAATCTCATCAGATTGAAATGCCTTCCAGTTTCTTCCAGCATTGAAATGCATTGACTTTCTGCAGCGTTTGATTCAGCAGGCTTTCAGTTCGAGAAAGACTTGGCTGCGAAAGCCGAAACCCCACACAAACACATCACGAAAGCCAGCTAGCTTCTGCTAGCTGAAGTCCCTCTTGCTTTAGCAAGGTGTCGGTGGGGCTGGAACCTCCAATCCCGGCTGGCTGGTTCACAAGTGTTTGGCTGGTTCACAAGTGTTTGGCAGCACGCACCCTCAGCATCATTGTGTTTTCATGCCAAGCTCCCTGCCAAGGTAGCTTTCGTCCCTTACCCCTGGGCCTCAAGTTCGAATAGTGGATTGGTTCAAATCCATGTCTCCTAGACCATGTTCCATGTTCTTTTGTCCAGGCAAAGTGCTATGAAGCCATGCCAGTTGAATTCAACTTTGGCCCCGGAGCTAGTCACTGCCAAGCGTCTGGTGCCATGGCGGGGATGACGGGGATGACTTTGATGCTTCGCTTCCTGCTGCTGTCTCTTTTTCAAAATGCCTCAGCGGTGGGTGGACCTGGCGAAATCAAGGTGGGAGCTCAGAATCCAGGCATTCCGTGGCATTCCGCAGATGTACCCACCTTCTTTCCCTCAAATCTCGAAAACAAACGATTCTGGCTTCACCGGCTTGAGCATGATCCGCCCAATTTTTTTTGGACAATTTGATGATTCATCCCTCTAAAACCGTTTATATGATCTTCTAAACAAATATGATGGGACGCCAATTATCCCAAACAACTTGGGTTGTCCTTGCACCCGCAGGCGGCCACCCAGGAGACGCAGAAGCTCCTGGCACCGCTGAGGACAAAGGTTTGTCACCAGGACGTCGCAGATGGGTGGCTGATGGCTTTGGCAATGGGTTGATGGACCAGTTCGGATAGCTGTGGCAATGGTATTCTCATGCTATTTTGATGGCAAACAACTATGGCAGCTATGTGAAGATCCAGTGTTTTGAGAAATGGTGTTTTGAATCCATTTGATGTGTGTTGCTGGCACAAAATGGTGGTAACAGGAAATTCAAGGATCCAGAATGGATTTTCGGAGTGTGCTTTAGTCTCTTAGTGGTACAGTGATTTCTTTCGAAGCGATGTTCAAGTGGTGATCTGTGCTAGGCGCAAGAGGCCGGCTATACCTCCGAATTCACAAAGTTTGCGGCGATTTCCGAAAGACTGCAGGTGGTGGCTGGCAGAAATCACTTCGTAAAGGCTGGGTTTGGGAATCACCGGAGTCACCTCACCACCTTGGAGCTTCATTGTTGGAATGGTGCTGAAACTGCAAGTTTTAGACATCAAACATCTGTCGAAAATGGGAAGCATCCACCTTCCTACCGGTCCTGCCCTTCCTTTTTGTTCCAGGTGCAGGTTGCTCCTGAAAGCTATATTCACGTGCGAATTTTTGAGTCGTTGCCTCACATGAAGAAAGATCCAGAACTCGTGGCGATCGAGCTTCTTGGCGCTGAATCATGGCGAGGATCCTGCAGTGCAGGAGGTTTCCAGCCATTACGAATGCCCTAGTTGATTGGTTAATATAGGGACTTCTACGACCTAATTTATTCTGGATCATTGATTTTTATATTTTGTAACTCACTATAGGGAAGCTTACCAACTAATGAGATGGGATAGAGTTATTTTAATGGCTCAAGTGGTATTTTGTTTTGCTTCGTTGGTTTTGATACCTGGGATGCTTAACAGGCTTGACATACTTCTGGACCTGTTGCTTGGTGAGGCTGGATCACACCTACGACAGTGCGATCGATATTTTTCCGGCAGCAAAGGAGCTCTGAGGATCCACATGACAGGAGCTGGTGGCAGTGGGATTTTTCGAGCGGTTCGCGTGAGCTGAGCTGCTTATTCTGCCAAATTGTGATACGAGAGTGAAGTTCATACAGGGAAGCTCGGCCAGCGATCATTCCACTGGAATGAAGAAACGACTTTCAGAGAGAAAAGCTCCTGAAGTCCTTCGATTCAATGCAGTTCTCAGAGTCTGTGTGACAAAGAAACATCGAAGACCAAATGTGCAGCCTTTGCGGAGCCTAAACAAGGTCATGGACCTTCAACACTGGTCACTTGTGTGTGTTGAAAGATGGGCAGAAATGGTCAATTTATGGCCCAACCATGGAGGTGCGGAGGAGATTTTTGAGGAGGTCATGGTGCGAGTGCGTCAGTTGGCTCAGAAGCTTCAATGATTCGACACATCATTTTCCCCCAAAAATAGATGGGGTATGGCGATTTTGGGCTATACCGGCTATACACCCCATTTTTGGATAAAAGCGTGTTGAAGATAACTCCAATAACTTTAATAGTTTACATACCAAAATCCAGATTGTTTGTAAGGGTTATATATAATATTATTATATATATATGAACACAAAGCTGCGATGGTTGAGATAGAAGGTCATCATGCTACAGTTCACAGTGATCACAGAAATGAATTGTGCCCATGAGGCAAGTCCGTCCCGCTCTGCGAAGAATGGGGTGTCGCAAAGGCAAGGCACAAGACATGAGGGCTCACTATCCGTGCCAAGATATCCCAAAGGGTTTAATACTAGCCAGGACCAATTTTTTCGAATTTATTGTTCCACATTTTTGAGCCATACCTGCGCCATTGTTTTTTGGCGTTTTTCGACGCAGTTCTTTGGCTTCCAAGCATGATCTACAAGCATAGCTGTGCGTCACTGAAGCTGCATCATTTCCCCAAAGTCATTGCAGAATTGCCCAAAGTGGTGCATCATGGTGCATCCATTTCTGCTGATTTACAGATTTTTAGAGGGCCGTTTCCAACACTTGCGCCATGGCTAGCATGGCTGGCTTCATTGCGTTGGTTCTTTCACTGGTGGTGAGCTCGGACAGGATCTCAGAGTGTCGGAAGGGTGTTTCCGGCGGTTTCCAACCTGCGGCCGATGCAGTGCGCGATGTTCCGAGGCGTCCAAGGAGATCTCCTGTAGCTTCAACGTGCCGCTGCTTTGCTGATTGGGTTGCCGGGATTGGGTGACAGATATCCCACGATATCCTCGCATGGGATGGTCATGATACCAGCAGCCAGACTTTGAGGGCTTTTTTCGGGTTTGAAGCTTTGAGTTTTCAAACGCGTACCGCGTACCCAGATGTTTTGAGAAAATGGACTCAAGACTCTGACCCTTTGGGAAGGCCCAAGCATCCTCCGCTCAGGTTCCGAGATTGGGCAGGTTCCCTCCTCGACTGCAAGCCAGGTAGGGATTCAGAAACTGTGAAATGGGGGGAGATGAGCAGTGGCCAACCGCCTCGATGATCGTTCTGTTGCTGAGGGTCATTCCTACTGACGGTTTGCTGACTTATATATATATATATATACACATACACAAACTAAGTTATACTATTGTGATCTACTGAGTATATTTACAATACACTCTATCTGTCTGTCTGTGAAATCTGTCTGTCTGTGAAATCTGTCTATCTGTCTGTCTGTCTTTCTTTCTGTCTGTCTGTCTATGTGTCTATGTGTCTATGTGTCTATGTGTCTATGTGTCTATGTGTCTACCTGTCTATCTCTCTATCTCTCTATCTCTCTATCTCTCTATCTCTATCTATCTATCTATCTACCTATCTATCTATCTATCTATCCTATCTAATCTATCTAATCTATCTAATCTATCTAATCTATCTAATCTATCTAATCTATCTAATCTATCTAATCTATCTAATCTATCTAATCTATCTATCTAATCTATCTAATCTATCTAATCTATCTAATCTATCTAATCTATCTAATCTATCTCTAATCTATCTAATCTATCTAATCTATCTAATCTATCTAATCTATCTAATCTATCTAATCTATCTAATCTATCCTATCTATCTATCTATCTATCTATCTATCTATCTATCTATCTAATCTATCTAATCTATCTAATCTATCGATCTATCTATCTATCTATCTATCTATCTATCTATCTAATCTATCTGTCTATCTATCTATCTATCTAATCTATCTAATCTATCTAATCTATCTAATCTATCTAATCTATCTAATCTATCTAATCTATCTAATCTATCTAATCTATCTAATCTATCTAATCTATCTAATCTATCTAATCTATCTAATCTATCTAATCTATCTAATCTATCTAATCTATCTATCGATCTATCTAATCTATCTAATCTATCTAATCTATCTAATCTATCTAATCTATCTAATCTATCTAATCTATCTAATCTATCTAATCTATCTAATCTATCTAATCTATCTAATCTATCTAATCTATCTAATCTATCTAATCTATCTAATCTATCTAATCTATCTAATCTATCTAATCTATCTAATCTATCTAATCTATCTAATCTATCTAATCTATCTAATCTATCTATCTACCTATCTATCTATCTCTCTCTCTCTCTATCTATCTATCTATCTCTCTATCTCTCTATCTCTCTATCTCTCTATCTCTCTATCTATCCGATCTATCCATCTATCTATGTATCTATGTATCTGCCTATCTATGTATCTATGTATCTATGTAGCTATGTATCTATCTATCTACCTACCGATCTATCTATCTATCTGTCTGTCTGTCTGTCTGTCTGTCTGTCTGTATGTATCTCTATCTATCTATCTATCTATCTAGCTACCTATCCATCTCTATCTATCTATCTGTCTATCTGTCTATCTATCAATCAATCTATCTATCTGTCTATCTATCTATCTATCTGTACATACGCACACACATACATATACATAAGAACCCGCAAAAGATAGCAAAGTAAATAATCAAATTAGAAGGGATTTACAGTACGTTTCTATCTTTTTGGGGGTTGATATATAGGTATTTACTAGTGTGTACACACACATATATACATATATATATATACATATATATACATATAAAGATATTCTTATCGAAGGAAGTTTAGAAGTCAAACTTCCGACAACATGGACAGATGAAAAAGCAGAGGTGGGAAGAGTCAGAGAAGAGAAGAGCAGGAGAGAGAAGATCAGAGAAGAGAAAGAGTCAGAGGAAAGAAGATCAGGTACGCGAAAAGGTAGCAAAGTCACGAAACACTTTGTTTTTCCAACCTTTAGTGGCTCCAGAGGGTCGAAAAGTAGGCTCGCTAAAGCGGCGGGTGCGGAGCCACGTGGTCAGATGAGAGATGACAAGTTGCACGCCGTTGTGGCGCGAAGCATATTCCCAAGTCAAAATGTACAAAGCACACCAACGTCGGACCACTTTTGGAAGTTGAGCTGTCGAAAAAATGCACGCCGTTGTGGCGCGAAGCACATTTCGAAGTCAAAACGTACAAAGCACGTCAGCCTCGGACATTTTTGGAAGTTGAGATGTCGAAAAAGTGTACGCCGTTGTGGTGCGAAGCACATTTCCAAGTCAAACGTGCAAAAACCTGAAGGGCACGGAGCACTTTTGGACATGTAGATGTCTTTTTGCGTGGCAGGCGCAAGGAGTTCTGCACCTTGCCAAAAGTGAGCAAAACGGGTAGCAGTTTCAACTACAACCACCACTACACTACACTACACGACACGACACGACACGACACTACGCTACGCTACGCTACACTCAATTACACTGCGCTACACAACAACTACAGATACAACTATAACTGCAACTACAGCTACAGCTACTACAATTACAAGTACAACTACATTACACTACACTAATTACATTACATCATGCTGCACGACACTACACCGCACCACACCACACCACACCACACTATACTACACTACACTACACCACACTAACTACAAGGTCGGGCGCTCATAGACGGCCGTATGGTTTCGTGCACTTTCATCTCAGTTTTGATACAAATGTATGAATGGTGATATGGCAAATCCTCCACGCTGGCCATTCGAAATGCATGTGCAACTTCACATGTCCATGTTTATATCTTGGCGGGTCATATTTTGACGTCGAAAAAAACTACTTCAGTTGAGACACTTTCAGGTGTATTTTCATCAGTGCATCACATTTATTTTAATCCACCGCATGTTCGCCAAGTTTTGTTTAATCTGCAAAAAGTCGAGACAGTTGCTCGAATATAACGCTGATCATTCGTAATACATGAAAATTCTATTGAGCAATTTCATTTTAGATATCCTATATCAGAAGAATAGAATATAGAATAGACTGGATTGAAAAGTAACGCGAATATAACGATGATAATGATTCTAGAAAAGATCTCAAGACGTACCATCCCAGATGTGTTGAATTCCAAGAAAAGATCTCATGACGTAACATCCCAGATGTGCTGAATTCCAAGAAAAGATCTCATGACGTAACATCCCAGATGTGTTGAATTCCAAGAAACGATCTCATGACGTAACATCCCAGATGTGTTCAATTCCAAGAAAAGATCTCAAGACGTACCATCCCAGATGTGTTGAATTCCAAGAAAAGATCTCATGACGTAACATCCAAGATGTGTTCAATTCCAAGAAAAGATCTCAAGATGTACCATCCCAGATGTGTTGAATTCCAAGAAAAGATCTCATGACGTAAAACATCCCAGATGTGTTGAATTCCAAGAAAAGATCTCAAGACGTACCATCCCAGATGTGTTGAATTCCAAGAAAAGATCTCAAGACGTACCATCCCAGATGTGTTGAATTCCAAGAAAAGATCTCATGACGTACCGTCCCAGATGTGTTCAATTCCAAGAAAAGATCTCATGACGTAACATCCCAGATGTGTTGAATTCCAAGAAAAGATCTCAAGACGTACCATCCCAGATGTGTTGAATTCCAAGAAAAGATCTCAAGACGTACCATCCCAGATGTGTTGAATTCCAAGAAAAGATCTCATGACGTACCGTCCCAGATGTGTTCAATTCCAAGAAAAGATCTCATGACGTAACATCCCAGATGTGTTGAATTCCAAGAAAAGATCTCAAGACGTACCATCCCAGATGTGTTGAATTCCAAGAAAAGATCTCAAGACGTATCCCATCCCAGATGTGTTGAATTCCAAGAAAAGATCTCAACGTAACATCCCAGATGTGTTGAATTCCAAGAAAAGATCTGACGTACCATCCCAGATGTGTTGAATTCCAAGAAAAGATCTCATGACGTACCATCCCAGATGTGTTGAATTCCAAGAAAAGATCTCATGACGTACCATCCCAGATGTGTTCAATTCCAAGAAAAGATCTCATGACGTAACATCCCAGATGTGTTGAATTCCAAGAAAAGATCTCATGACGTAAAACATCCCAGATGTGTTCAATTCCAAGAAAAGATCTCATGATGTAACATCCCAGATGTGTTCAAGTCCAAAGAACGCTATTACACCCCCCCACCCCCCACCCCCCCAAAAAAAATATTAAAAAGGATCCCCTCAACTAGTCAGGGTCTGGAATGCCGGTAGCTCAGGGAATTTTTTTAGCTAGGTCTACAGTCCCCACTGAAGTATAATAGACCTTCGTGCTGGGAAGATGTTAGACCTTCAGGTTTTTACAACATAACCCATCTTCGAAAACAAATATGATATTAGACCTTTGGCCTCAATGTTAACATAACTTGATCTTAGACCTTGTCTGCCTGGCTGAATCTGCACATGCGTTTTGGGGGGTCGGTCAAATAAATCTGTCAGCAAAGGGTTCCCTGTGATCGGGCGGCTTCATGCTGTAGCGACGCTGTGTAACACCCTCTTTCAGTGTGTTCCCTTGCATTTGTTGTCCAATTTTGTTGGAACCATCAAGTTGCGAAACATCACTTTTAGCTTTTGAAAGAAGAGTGACACGTTGTTTCACGAAGACATCCCCAAAGACTGACACAAAAACATCCAAAGGGAAACAGCAAAAAACTTGATCAGGTTTCTGGATGTTTCTGGATATAAAATATAAAACTATATATTTTACAAAGATGTTGGGATATATTGGGTCTACCATGAATGTATTGTATAAAAGCAGCTCTGCTGCTGTATCATATGGATTAAGAACATCATTCTAGACCTGCACTGCGCGTCTCACTGTGGTCCCGCACCGCTTCCAGAAAGGAAACTGTGGTAGCAACCTGGGTCTGAAATCAAATCCTTGTCTCACAAAAGCCTGGGATAATACCAACTTTGAAGCCACAATATGATGTCAGACCCTCAGGTGTGAGGCCATACCTTCAAAACAAACAAGGATCATCATTATTAAGGGAAATCATCCAGTCCAAAATTCTCTAAGCTGCGCCTCGCAAACACAACAGCATCCAAAAGGGAAACAGCAAAAAACACACCATGATCAGGTTTCTGGATGTTTCTGGATATAAAATATAAAAATATATATTATAAAAAGATGTTGAGATATATTGGGTCTATTATGAATGCATTGTATAAAAGCACTCTGCTGCTGTATCATATGCGCTAAGAATATAATTCTAGACCTTGACATCTCACTGTGGGCCCGCGCAGCGTCCGAAAAAACGCACGTACATGCACCTCATGCACGGTTGCTGCACGCTCAGCATGCAAAGCCATCCCCAAAGATTCTCACATCTTGTTCAAATCTTGACACTTCCAACACTGACACAACAACATCCAAAGGGAAACAGCAAAAAACAACTTGATCAGGGTTCTGGATGTTTCTGGATATAAAATATAAAACTATATATTATAAGCAGATGTTGAGATATATTGGGTCTATCATGAATGCATTGTATAAAAGCAGCTCTGCTGCTGTATCATATGCGCTAAGAATATAATTCTAGACCTTGACATCTCACTGTGGGCCCGCGCAGTGTCCGAAAAAAACGCATGTACATGCACCTCATGCACGGTTGCTGCACGCTCAACATGCAAAGCCATCCCCAAAGATCCTCAAACCTTGTCCAAGTCTCGACACTTCCAACACTGACACAAAAACATCCAAAGGGAAACAGCAAAAAAACTTGATCAGGTTTCTGGATGTTTCTGGATATAAAATATAAAACTATATATTTTACAAAGATGTTGGGATATATTGGGTCTACCATGAATGTATTGTATAAAAGCAGCTCTGCTGCTGTATCATATGGATTAAGAACATCATTCTAGACCTGCACTGCGCGTCTCACTGTGGTCCCGCACCGCTTCCAGAAAGGAAACTGTGGTAGCAACCTGGGTCTGAAATCAAATCCTTGTTTCACAAAACCCTAGGATAATACCAACTTTGAATCCACAACATGATGTCAGACCCCCAGGTGTGAGGCCATACCTTCAAAACAAACAAGGATCGTCTGCATTATTAAGGGAAATCATCCAGTCCAAAATTCTCTAAGCTGCGTCTGGCAAACACAACAGCATCCAAAAGGGAAACAGCAAAAAAAAAACCATGATCAGGTTTTGTTGCATTTGTGTTGCGCAATCACACTGCAAAAAAAAGATGGCGCGCTGTTTCGATGATTCGGGGATTGGCATGGATTGGCTTCGCTTTCACGAAGCTGACGTCCATGACATTTTGAGCCAACCATTTTAGACCTCACAGTGCAGAGGTCTATATTGATCTATATTGATTTTTCCTTCTGACGTTTTCCCCAATTTTTTCCTTCTGGGGTAGGGGGGTCACATGTCTTAGACCTTTTCGGTGGATACCCTAGCCTGTTTTTGAACGTATGTTTCAGACATACCTAGAGAACCATACAACTTGATCTTAGACCCCGGTTTTAAGGTCTATTTTGAACTTTTGTATAGCGCCTGGGCAGTAGTTGATGGTATTAAAAAGGTACATTCACAGAAGTTTTCTAAACTCAAATTATAGCAGTATAACAAGTCAAAAATTATTCGCAAACAAACACATAAAAGACTACCATATATTACCTCATTCATTCCACAACCACAACGGCGTGCACTTTTTCAACATCCGAACTTCCAAAAGTGGCGCGAACATGTGGTGTTTTGTACATTTTGACTTGGAAATGTGCTTCGCGCAACAACGGCGTGCACTTTTTCGACATCTCAACTTCCAAAAGTGGTCCGGAGCTGAGGTGTTTTGTACATTTTGACTTGGAAATGTGCTTCGCGCCACAACGGCGTGCACTTTTTCGACATGTGAACTTCCAAAAGTGGTCCGAACCTGGTGTGTTTTGTACATTTTGACTTGGAAATCTGCTTCGCGCCACAACGGCGTGCACTTTTTCGACATCTCAACTTCCAAAAGTGGTCCGGAGCTGAGGTGTTTTTTACATTTTGACTTGGAAATGTGCTTCGCGCCACAACGGCGTGCAATTTTTCATCTCTCATCTGGCCAGCTGGCTCCGCACCCGCCGCTTTAGCGAGCCTACTTTTCGACCCTCCGGAGCCCCAAATCATTGGAAAAACACAGTGTTTTGCGACTTTCCTACCCTTTCGCGCATCTGCATCTTCTTTCTTCTTACTCTTTCTCTTCTACTCTTCTTTCTTCTAATCTTTCTCTTCTCTCTGCCTTTTCCCTGCTCTGCTTTTCATCTGTCCATATTGTCGGAAGTTTGACTTCTAAACTTCCTTCGACAATCATTACACCACCACACATGCAACTGCAACTACACTACGCTAATTACACTACACCACAACGACAACTCCACTACGCTACAGCTACAGCTACAGCTGCACTACACCACACTACATCCAGCAGTTGTGAGTGGGGTGACCGACCAGGTGACCACTGCAACCATTGCAACCAGTCCAAAAACACAACTCCAACCACCTTTCAGTCCATCAGTGGATTCGCTCTGCCATCCGTGATTCACAACAACCAACCTCTCCTATAGGTTTCCTATTTCTGAAACTTTCGCCACCGCCTTGTGCGGTACTACTGGTACATGTATATATATATATATTGAATATACACACAGACACTCTCAGCTGTATTTCCCTTTACTTATATTATATATCTCTTGCTGTGCTGCCATTGTTTCTAGCCAATATTTGGAAACGACAAACGACATCGGATCGATCTGCCGCAGCAGGTACCATGGTGCCCTGTGCCAGCGATGATGATTGCGCTGCGTTGCCGAAAAGCTGCTGCCCTCATTATGGCCCTGGTCCTTCTCCGGGCTGCAACTGGCTCCGTTGCCTGCCCACAGGCACCTTGGCCGCCGCAAACCTTGCCGTGCGGGAAAACCTTGGGAAAGAGGTGTAAGAGACAACTATTTATCGTAGCTACTGTGGTGAGATTAAGGATGTTGATAGGCTCCAACCAATTGGTTTGGCTGATGGTTGTAAAGGACCCCCCCCACCCGACCATTTTGAGTAGCAAAACATCAAGTTTCTGCCTGATCTTCGCATAAATGCCCGGAACCTATGTTTTCCCTGTACTGCAGAACAATTGAGTGATCCTTAAGAGGACCCATTGGCACAACCCGTAGCTACACCTCTAATGTGGCGGTCCCGCGCAGCTGCGCTGCAGAGGCTCTCCATTTGCTGGCAGCGACACAAAACTCTGTGGAATGCATCGGGTCTCTCCTGCAGGGCCTACCACAACTGAAGGCGCCCAATCACTGCGGAGAAATTTCGTTTAAAATATGGTTCCTTCCGGTATCCAAACAGGGGAATGGCAACAGCCCCATCGTTTAAAAGGAACACCATCTATACATAAATGGGGGAATTTCCACGGCAAGTTTTCGGTCCTTCCGAAAGCAGCTTTGGAGCATCCGTAAAGCTGGAAACACAAAGAGCAGCAGAGTCATTGCTTTCACCTGCACAGGTTTGGAGGTGTTGAGCTACCAATCTGCTGTACAGCATCCCCAAAAAGATAGAAAAGTAACATTCTATTAGAATTGTGATACATAATACAATGTGTTCTTCTATTTTTTTGGGGTTACCATGTACTAAGCTGCGGGTTGACTCGCAGATTCTCGGGTCTTCTCGCTGTGGGTGTCGGCAGGAACATGCCTGGCAGAATCCCTCTGCGGTGTTGAACTGGCCACGGGGAATGTGGGTTGCTTCAGCAACAGCACCTGCATCCTGGCGGTTAAGGTATGCGTCTGTCCTGGGAAATCCCAACTTTCAAGATGAGATCCTCTAAAACAAAGGGCGAGCAGTTCCGCTATACCTGCCGTGTTAAAACTTATGACGTGATCGATTCACTAAGACAAAACGCTTGCGGTCCACGCCCGATCTTGATCCCTACCTCTGTGGCTTGAACATTTCTGTGATTTATGCTGCCGAGGCAACAACCCTTCCCAAATGGCACCGAAATTGGCGTGTCAGGTGCCCGAGTGCAGGCTGTGATGATGGTCACAGGCCCCTGAACCTCAACGGTCAGCAGCCGTCACCAGCTCCACTGAGGCTATCCTTCCGGGCATTCCGCACCAACAAACGAGAGTGAGCAACTAATTGTTTGAACTTGAAAATCTTGAAAGGTTTTCTGTAAAACTGGGGTATACCTCACCAATGTAATTTAAATGGGAACAACGATGATTCTCCCTTGGAGTTTGGGGTACCCCAATTTTCGGACAAACCTACATGTGGCTTTCGGTCACAATTATGATTCACTTTCCAGTCGTGTTGCTTGAGCATGCTGGATGCTGGCGGAAAGAAAATGGCGAGGAAACTCTCAAGTTTCATGCTTGCACTGGGTCTGTCTGGGTCTGTCTGGATCTGCCGAGAATGGGCTAGGCTATACCCCTAAAAAGCACTGGTCAATTTTAATATTCCAGTATGTCCCATTTTCAGCAATGAAATGTCAGGCGAACATGTCCCAGATAGGTCCTGGGGAGGCTTTTGGTGCGTGGAGTCTCAGTCTGTGACCCTCCAAGCAAGGTGAAGAAGTCTTCTTGGAAAGCTGCTTTCAGTTCAGCTCTACATGGTCATACACATATCTATATCTATATCTATATATATATATATGTGATACATATCTATATATACATATATACACATATCTATAGATTGTATTAATACACACTAACAAGACAGATACACTAGTAGTAGCAATAAGAATCGCAACAAGAATAGCACAGAAAATAACCCATACATAGTAACATGACAACCGAGGCGTGGACCAACAATGACCGGATGCGTGAGCGATGGAACACGCTGGCGCGCACTGCGACTGTGTGCCCGGTCTTTGTTTTGTCTTGGTTGACGTCACTAGGAAGAGGGTGGATACCCTTTGGTAATAAAACATGGCAAACTGTGACATCTCACTAAATGGAGGCTTTCATGGGAAAGTCATCTATACATGGGGAAAATAAACATTGCCATGCTTGATTAAAAGAGGGTATGTCCACAATTTTCAAGCCGCGTCTCTACATCCACATCTATGTAGGAATACACATATGAACCAGGTTTTAGTTCACAAGTGTGGGCTCCAAACAGAAGCAGATTCCCTCCGTATTTTGAGTGGCTTCGTCCATGCTGGCAGCTTCGTTTGGTGGCCAAGCGCCGGCGCATGCCCGACGTTTTCGAGGCCCCTGGTGTGGCGATGGGGTCACAATTGGAATTGGGGGACATTTGTAATCTTCAGCAGGCATGACGCGAATTTCGGGTATGGCTCAGATGAGGTGAAGGGTGGCAGACGAGCAAAGTTCCGTTGTCGATTTAAACGACAGGTGTGCGATGCCAGGAAAGCATGCTGGGTGCATGCAGACGGGCCCTCAATACTGTGAGTTGGAACTTACGCGTAACTTCTGCAGCGATCAGCAAAATCCCACAAGCTGAGGATCACAGTACCACCGAATTCATTGCCCGTGCAGCAGCTGGGAACACAGTCAGAGCATGCCGAACATTCCCAACTGCAGCCTGTCAAGCCTTCTGCAAGTCATCAACCAGCATTGTCATTCCTATACATTCTGATCAGTGTCATCATTGTGACTTTGTCGTCATCACATCCATTGCAAGTCTTTTTCCGTTAAACACTGGAACCACGACGCAACATTCAAATTGCCTGATTTGGATTCCTGGAACTGTCTATAGTCCTTCGCTTCGCGCTATCACATCTATCACACCAGAATTGGATCATCCACCAGGTTATCATCCACCATCCGCCACCATCCCAGGTTGCCACCGTGCATTTGACCGGCTTAGTGGACTCGTTCAGACCTCAGCGTCCTTCACATCCTCCCTGGTGTCCATGACCGCAGGGAGCGTGTCGGTGTGATCCGCCATGATCGGCTCAGGTTCCACACCATGCCGCCGGCGGGATATCCGGAAGTGGTGTTCCTGGGGTGGTCGGAAACCTATGCTGACGGTGACATCCGATTGCTGGATGCTGGATGTTGCCTCACTGGAACTTCCCCTGTGGCCGAGGTCAAACGTGGGCAAGAGCTCATTGATCAATTCGCTTTTACACCGCACTGTGCAGCTCTCAACTGATCTTGTGGAGCTGTTCCAGGCCCGATCGCATGATGGAGCACACTTTCAAGATTTCTCTACACTGAAGGCTGTTGCGCCCGTCTCAAAGATGCCGGGAAAGACGCGAGGTAGCCCAGTGACGGCATCTGATGGCATCTTATGCGGGTTCCCAATCCTGTCCGCTGTTGATCTCACAGCATTCTCTCTGGTTCCAGAATGTTCCAGATGCTCAGGACTCAGTTTCATTTTTACACCATCAACGAGAGGAACGCAGCATTTCCTCAGATGACTCTGGTGGACGCCTCTCGGCCAATCAGAACTGGGCTTTGTCTCAAAATTTGGACCTCCATTCCATCTCGTGGCCTATCAATCCTCATGTCTTCCCATCTAATTTCATCATATGGAGGTTTCCAATCCATGGGGGTACCCTAGTTATCATCCATTTTCATAGGATTTTCCATGAAATAAACCATCCAATCCATGGGGGTACCCCCAAATCATCCCAATCTTTTTCGCATCGGAAAGCCATGGAAAGCCTGGATCTGAGGTCCCAGGCCTCGGCGAGGCCATGGCGGATGATGTCCAAACGAGGCCCTGTTTATTTGATGGGCTCCAAATGGCCAATTTTCATAGAGAAAAGGATGGTGCACCATTATGTAATTATATAATGATGGAACAGTTTCTATATTATGGTTCTACACATCTGGTGCAGCTGCTACAACTTTCAGACCCGATTTTTTCGGAGTTTTGTTTCGGAGACGAGGGGAATGCATGTTGATGCAGGCACTGGCAAAGCACATTGGACCTGTGCCCGCACCAGTTGCTGAGGCAATCTTTCGACCTATACTCGTAGATGAAATGCCAAGATTTGATGATGGAATTCTGTAGGGTGATGTCCAAGCCAATTGTGAGTAATTATTATGCAATGCCATCATGCCATCCCCGTTATCTTGCATACCGGCCTTGAAACCCTGGTTTAGTATTGAATCATATTGAATCATATTGAATCAAAATTGAATCAAAATTGAATCAACATTGAATCAAAATTGAATCAATTTTGGGATATTTTTGGGTCCCCTAAGTTACCCATCAGGATGGATGGGATCGGGATGGGATCGGATGGGGATGAAGTGAACGGCGCCTCTCAGGTACTTGAAGAAGCGCGGCAGCATGCTGCGGCAGGTCTTTCACCTGATCAGCTGCGAGGCTGGGCCGTTGGTCGGGAGATCAATGGTGAGACTTGGTCACATCTATACACTGTATTGGATGAAAACAATCTACCTATGATATAATGCAGAAGTATCATACTGGATAAAATTGGTATATTTTGAATGATATATATATATGTATATATAACTTATAACGTATATAACGTTATACAACGATAGCTCAACTTAGATCAGGACAATTCGACAATTCGGTGCCGGACTGGAGAATCTCAGATTTCGTTTTCGGTTGCACTAAGGTTTTGCTGCACAACAAGCGACCATCCTCCCTGGACATGGCCGTCATGGCCGCTCTGCTGCAAGATATTCCAACAGTTCTGCAGTTGTGCAACAGTTTGGATCATGATTTCATACATTTTTGTGTTTATTTTCATGTATTTCCATGTATTTCCATGTATTTTCATGTATTTCCAGGTATTTTCATGTATTTCCAGGTATTTTCATGTCATTCAAGTCTTTCCCATACTTTGAAGTCTCGAGCCCCCACTGACTATACTGAGATGACGCAGGAGATGTGCCTTCGTCATCGGCGTGAATACCGAGTTGACTACACCTTGGCTTTCGCCCTCAGACGGATCTGATTTGGAGCAGTTGAAGCAGTGGAAGCTGCCCACAAAAGCTGGATGGCTTGAAAATGGTTCCAGGTTAAGGCTTATAAGGGTTTTCAGGACCTAAACATGAGCACTTGTGTGAACATTGATGATACTTGAAGGATCTTTGAAGGTACGCACACCTTGATCCCCAGATCAGTGAGGTGCTGACCAGATTTGAACAGCCATTGCGACCTGTCAAGGTGATCACAAAGGTTGATCTGATCAAATCAGAAGAAGATGCTCAGCAGTCCCGCGATGTTTTATGGGACTATGGGCTGCAGAGACACATTGAAGATTGACTGTAGTGGTGTATAACATGACACTAATGGTGTATATTATATATAAGTCACCAATTACGTAGTACAGTGTTTGCTGAATGCGTCATTAGTGACGTCGCTTGACGAGTGGCAGGGCGGTGTACGAAACAATGAAGCGCATCTCGAAGAAGTTTGATCTTGGAAGTGTGCAGGTGGGATCTCTGTCGAGGAATAGCCGGCAAGTTCCAAATATTGGCGTGATCTGCCTTTCAGATTGAACCTGGTATGTGTCCAGGTCAAAAGAATCAACCCCAGAAATTGGATGGTTTGATATACTAAACTAAAAATGACAAGTTTTGTGCGTCCGTTGGTAAGGTACCCGAATTTGGAGTCTTTTCCTTCTGAATCATTGATGTTTCGAACAGCCTGGAAACACAATTCAATTGGATCTGGACTGAATTCTACGCAGATTGTCCCGTGCAGCGTGAGAAAGATCCGTGGCCGAATCGCTCTCTGGAAATGTCTGTGGAGGCATCCGTGACAGGGTCGTGAAAACTTCGCTACAGGAACTTCCCCTCAGGGCTTAGGGTGGGCAATTTATACAAAAAAGGGGCGTTGATCCATTCCAACGAGAGTTTCCCTAAAGCCAAGCTACACACCACCCAGGAGCTTCGGTGGAATCCCCCAGCGCAGGTCAGTAGACCCTGGCCACACTGAACAGCTGCGACCGAGCAGAGAACTGAAAGATCTACAGAAGGACAGCTGCAAAGATCCCCAGGAATTGGATCATCGATTTTCAGTCAGCCCCAAAGATAAGCCGGACAACACACTATCCCTGGGACAACCAAACGTGTGTAGATCTCATTTTAACAATTTCTTGCAGGTTCTGGTCCTTTACGAGCTGATTTATTTCTAAGTATATGACGAGTTACAAACTTGGTGGAGGAAGGCATTTTCACAGATGACAGTTCACCACACTGTGGGTTAATTGTCAAACGGAGCAACGATTGATAGAGTATATAATCTTAGAATCGAATCAAATGGAAGGCAGCTTCACCGGATATTCATACGACGGTTGGAGGAACGGGCTGGCATGCTTGTTGCATCTTGTTGCTCAAGTTGCCCAAGCGGATTGTTTCAACGAATTCGTTAGCAAGGCTCCAACCAAGTTGGGTCCATGTCTGATGATTTTTGGTCCCTGGGGACCCTGGCCCCACTGCTCTTCCTGGGCCTAGAGGACCTAGGACGTGTTGAGGTCTGTAGCCGTGAGATGTGGCAACGGTGCAGCCACTGCTGGCGCCAGAAGTGTCAGCATGTGGCTGACCTCTTTGCAGCAACCGTGGAGGCCAATATTTCAGTGAAAACTGAAGTAGATCATGGGGGTGCTTCTTGTAATATTTCTGTTTGTTTTTCTTATCTTTCGAAACACATATTATGATATATTATGTATTTGCTGTGAATCTGTGGTTGGGTATAGTGAACATCGTTGGACAACAAGATCCTGCATATAAGCAATTGGCATTTCGACCATTTCTGTGCTCTTTCTAATCCACCCTGGTCGAGGTTTCTTCTCTCCCCTCACTTTCGCGAGAGTTGAAACTGGGCCTTGCATGTCTGACTGCGGGGCTGGAGCTGGATGCTTCGAAATTTCAGACGCTTCAGCTTCAAACCTCCAACGTCATTTGCCTTGGACGGAAAGTCTTGAAACTTCGGAGCCAGGGCTGCCGAGGCGACCAGAGAAGGATTTTGTTGAAGTGCCTCACCATGGCCACCAGGCAAAGCAAGCAATCCTTGGCGCGTGGCTCCATGGTCATCACTGTGGAAGAGGAGATATTTGAACTCCAAGTTGAGTGGATGGATGCATCGGTCTTTCTGCGGCTAGCTCCACAGAGACTTGGCCAGAAGGGCTGGTGCATTCACAGAGACTGACAGAATTTCTCTTGCATTCGTAGACCCCGAAAGGCACTTCCGAGTGGCAGTCATTCACTGACTGTCACGAGTTGAGTCACCGTGACTGCTTTCTGTACTAATCATTTGTAACTGCATTCAATTCACGCCAAGTTGGTGACAAGTAAGGCGTGAGCCTGATGGACCGCAGCAACCTTCAACTCGGTCCGTTTTGATGGACATCCTTCATGTTTCTACACCGCCCTTTCTGCATTCTTTGAGCCTCAGCGTGAGTGCTGATTCAAAGTGGCGAAAAGCTGGCTTCAGCCCTGGCGCCTTGTATGAAATAGACCATTGCGAGGTTCTGGTTGCTGTCATTTATGCATATATATATATTATGTATTATATGTAACATGTCATGTATAATACATTGTAATACTAATTCTAGTAATAGTGATAACAATGATAATAATGGCAGTTTTCCCACATGTGTTTTCTCAACCATCATGTTTCGCAGCCAAGGACTGATGAAGTGCCCCGAAAACTTTTTGAAGTCTTTGCGTCGGGGTCTCTTTTGTGTTATTTCCATCAGCCAGCAGCCCAATGGTACTTCGCACAGCTTGGCAGCTTTGCAGTTGGAAGGTGTACGACAAAATGACTTCTACAGGCACCGTGCTGAGATGTTCAACTGACTCACTGGTTGGCATTAGTTGATATATTGATATTCATGTAGATTCTGGGTCAAAATAGAAGGCGATGGGACTTTTTGCTGTACTCATTACCCACTTTTGACCCACACATCAATGTCAATACCTCTGACGGTGGAAGCTTCGCAGCCCCTGCCATGGTCTCATGGCCGTGAATTCAAGGTATCACCACGTGTCCTCTTGGGTCGAATTTGTACCTAGCCTAGAGCCTAGTCATGGCTTAGTTGCACTGTTCATTTTCGGGATGCCGCGAGAGTGAGGTGAAGGGTTTCTTTTGAAACCCCAATGAGCCAATTGAATTTCGAATCTGGCAGTTTAGATCCGGTGGTGACACAGAATTTTCATGTCAGACTGCTTTCGACACAGCTGCAATCCCGATCAGAACTTCCGTCGTAATCCCTTGCAGCATGGGGAAACTTATGCTGCCTATGAAATAAACATGAATTGACCATCCTGGCAGCGCGTTTTTCAGCAACTCAGCTGCACTCTCCAAGTTCCGAAAGCTGTAAAATATTCGATGATTCTCCCGCCCAAGTCAGTGGTCAAGTCGAAGGAATGTGATCTCTGGTCACACACTTGATGTTTCGGCAACGCCGGGACCATTTGCACAACACAGATTGGCTCGCGAATGCAAAGTGCTGCTGCTGCAACTGAGTGCCTTGTTGTGTGCCACATTTTACGCGTTAGGTTGCCGGAGTTGAGTATCTTCCATGATCCACTTAAGATTAATGCATGGAACAGTCATTTTTTTGATCTAGCAACAACAGTGCCATATGCGATAGCCCAACACGTGGGGCTCCGTTTCCCCAGGGGGTCTCCAACCGTTCAACGAAGACAGGAGTTGGATCTCCTCACAGAAGAAGCCAAAGCAGACGAGCTGACTGAGCGAATAGAGCAGGCCTTAGTCCCGGTGGGGCTTGGGGATTGTAAGCAAGTAATAACCCATATGCTGCATATCATATGCTGGTGAATATCTCAAAGCTGGGTTGCAATCTGATTATTACCCACTTAGTAACTGGGATGCACATGCAGCATCATATTTCCTGTAATTACATTCGGAACATTTCGTAACATGGATCACATTCCCAATGGGTGCCATGAAGTGCAGACTGCATGAACTTCCATCGTTTACGAAAGGTAGCATCAGCTACCTGAGTTCTCTGTGCGTTGCAATAGCACATGTTCTTTTTCCGGGCAGAGGGCACAGGAGTGACTTTTCCGGGTTCGAGAAGCTGCTGCATGGATTTTCAGCTGTTTTTGGGCGCTGCATGGCTTCCATTGTGGGGGGGTTGCTTTGTATACATCGTCATGCATCCTCCTTGCTGATCTTCATCGTCGTCCGTCACATCCTCATCCTCAAGGTCATCATTCCAGGAGCATGGTTTCTCATATCATACCCATCACTATCACCATCACCATCAACGTCATCATCACTAGCATCGTCATCGTCATCATCGCCGTCGTCGTAGTCGTCGCAGTCGGTCGTGGTCGTCGCCGCGGTCGTGGTCGTGGTGGTTGTGGTTGGTCGTGGTTGGTCGTGGTTAGTCGTGGTTGGTCGTGGTTGGTCGTGGTCGGTCGTGGTCGGTCGTGGTGGGTCGTGGTGGGTCGTGGTGGGTCGTGGTGGGTCGTGGTCGTGGTCGTGGTCATGGTCGTGGTCCTCATCCTCATCTTCATCCTCATCCTCATCCTCATCCTCATCACCACCATCATCATCATCATCATCAGCACCATCGTCATCATCACCATCCTCCTCCTCCTCCTCATCATCATCATCATCATCATCATCATCCTCATCCTCATCCTCATCGTCATCATCATCGCATCGTCATCGCCATCGCCATCGCCATCGCCATCGCCATTGCCATCATCATCATCATCATCATCATCATCATCATCATCATCATCATCATCGTCATCCTCATCGTCATCGTCATCGTCATCGTCATCCTCATCATCATCATCATCATCATCATCAGCATCACCATCACCATCACCATCACCATCATCATCATCATCATCATCATCATTATCCTCATCGTCATCCTCATCCTCATCCTCATCTTCATCCTCATCATCATCATCATCATCCTCCTCCTCCTCCTCGTCGTCGTCGTCGTCGTCGTGGTCGTCGTGGTCGTCGTGGTCGTCGTGGTCGTCGTGGTCGTCGTGGTCGTCGTGGTCGTCGTGGTCGTCGTGGTCGTCGTGGTCGTCGTGGTCGTCGTGTCGTCGTGTCGTCGTGGTCGTCGTGGTCGTCGTGGTCGTCGTGGTCGTCGTGGTCGTCGTCGTCGTCGTCGTGGTCGTCGTGGTCGTCGTCGTCGTCGTCGTGGTCGTCGTCGTCGTCGTCATCGTCGTCATCATC